TGGCTTTCACTGTACCTTACTTCGCTGCTTCCCTCTTTTCTTTGCACGGTCTCGGGATCGCTGTCTCTTTGTTTTTCGCATTAATCACTGTTAGGATGTATGAATTATTTCCTGGTTCAGCCGCTGAATCTACGAAACACCAGACTAGAGCCACTAAATAAGCTGCGCTTAGAGTATCGGCACTCCGTTCCCCGACATTGTTGTGGGCGCCGCCATTTTGGCTCGTATGCAGAACAGCCGCAACAGCCGATCGTCATGATTCAAAAGTGCGACTTCCTCAGCATTAGATTCGGTGTTAGGAAGGTCATGTAATATTGCTTTGCTCTGTCGCGAACGGTTTAAACATTTGTGGAGGGCGGAAAAGCATTTCCTGTGATTTCAGATAAAGCTTCTGATAACTGGCAACCATGATTTTAAGCCACAATATGGCCAAGTGTCGTTACTCTGAAGCGTAGCTTATTTAGTGGCACTACACCAGACCATGACAGGTAGTCGACGCTCCGCCTCCACACGCGCACATTGCCTTCAACCGCGGGAAAAGGGGGCACGTGCGACGAAGTCCTCCTGCATTGCCCAGAGGGTGCTGCGCGAAGGGACTTGCTAGGACTTGTTATGGGGCGGCGGAGAAAAGCTCACCGGAGAAAAGCTCACCGGAGGAAAGCTCACCGGAGAAAAGCTCACCTCAAAACCGGCAGATGCGGAGAAAAGCTCACCGATATTTTTTTAGCTTAGCTTGATTCTGCGTCAAACTTGGCAATTTAACACAATTCGCATTCGTCACTTCATTAAAAATATGTCCTCGTTTTTGTAATATTTTTGAGGTTCATTGGGCAAGTGTAAAATCAGAACATGGTACACCGGTAAAAAAGGCAACAATTTATTGACAGCTGAGGGTGCGCCGTCGGTAGCTCTGTCAGATAAAGAGGTTTGTTTTTTACGAGGTAATATGAATAGCGATGTGTGAATCGCTCGAGGTCCAAATATTGGACCTCAAGCGAATAAATAGATGTTTGTTGATGTCATCAGTGTCGGCTACGCTGTTTTCTTTCTGTTAATTTCACTAACAAAACTTTAGTTGCAAGAAAAGCTTCGTCGTGTCGTGTTTGTTGTCTTCACCCCGTCGTCGTCGTTTGAGCGGTTTTCATCATGTATAACGTTTCCCAACTCGCCCAATTCGCTACCTACCTAACAAAAGACTAGTTCTTATATAGCTCACGAGTAACAACGGTGGCAGTGCGCAGCTCTGAGGGTAATGGGTGGCTCACCGTAGAAGGCACTATCACACAAAGGGAACGTGTGGAAACACCATGCAGCACGAACGGCTAGAAAGCGTGCATTTCCGTGGAAGCACGAACGGCTAAAAAGCGTGCATGTCCGTGGAAAAAAAGAAGCCTCGATATCCTATTGACTGCTTTATCCTGTTTTCAAATGTTAACAAAAGCTTCAAAGGCACCGTGTTGTTGCGCATGCACTTTTGGATTTTCGGCATTTACACCTTTGATTTTTAGGTTTTAGGAGTCATCATTACGTTTTCTTTTTTTTTTTTTACTTTTTCCTGTTTTTAGGTTCATAAAGATTTTAGTTAGGCTTTCGTTGCATAGAAAGCCACAAAAAACACTCTCCCGCAATTATTAATTTGGGAGCAATATACCCAATAAGCTTAACAAATATTACAAACGAGGACATTTTATTTTTTACAAAGCTGACGAATGTTAATGATAATAAATTGATATATGTTACGCTCGATCCAACAGCCTCCATATAAAAAGAAGAAAAAATATCGGTGAGCAAATTTTCTCCACATACGCTCAATGGCCGGTGAGCTTTTCTCCGCATCCGCCGGTTTTGCGGTGAGCTTTTCTCCGGTGAGCTTATCTCCGGTGAGCTTTTCTCCGGTGAGCTTTTCTCCGGTGAGCTTTTCTCCGGTGAGCTTTTCTCCGGGATTCCTTGTTTTGGGTAGTACAAATTCTAGCGTCTCAAACTGTCACGCATGCAGAAGCGTGCCTGCTCTGGTGCGGAGCGCGAGATCGCGATGAAAATACAAAGAAACAACAAAAATTCTAACGCCGTCAAAGCTAAGACGCTAACCGCTCATTCACACTGGAAGCGGATCCGCGTTCGCAAAGCGTTTGCGAACGCGGTTGTATTCGCGACTCCAGCGACCTATAGGGGGCGCCACCACCAAACAAACATGGCGGCTGAGTCCAGGTCGCGTCGGCTCGGCCGGGCCGCCTGAATGGGTGGCGCATTCAATTTAACAATTATTCTTTTATTGAATGCCCAATTTTATGGGTATTTGAACTGAGACAGTTAAGTTTAGCCGGTGCGCATAAACTTGCCGAGCATAGTTTTGTTTTGCCGGCGTTTTTTGTTCTTTTCATGTCAAACTTTCGCTGCGGAGACCGATCAAAACCGAAACTATGGGCTCCGGAGAAACGGTAATAGACTCTAATTAGTTTTGATCATCTAAATAAAGCGGCAAGGGCTACAAAATTGTTCCACCGAGAGTAATGTTTAGCTAACTCGCATGCCTCGATCATGCGACTTACCTGTCCGCGAAATTGAGCTTTTGTGCCTGTCCGCGTTTCAAGAAACAGCTGCAGTCGTGTGCTCGGTCAAGAACACAGGCTGCAGGAAAATTACGAAAATTAAGCAAGCGCTTCTTGAGCCAAGGAGCATGTCAACTCGCTGGCACTTCACTAAGCAGCTGATACTCGTATTTCAATTCAGGTATTAGTAGCAATCGAGAAGTCATTTTGATGAATATGCGGTTATGTATTATATTACGTACTATGGTCCCACTAAAGCGATATTAGTATGTTCTTCGGGTTGAAATATGAACTTAGTTGACTAACTATTAGGGTGACCTGCTGAATAAAAGTATATTTGACAGACAGAGAGATACTACTTAAACTTAGCCAAATGGTTCTAGCCGGTAGAACGGAGACGAATGCGGACAACCTGAGGAGAGTATTCATCGGAGATTCACTCAGACCTCTCTGCATTGAGCTTGACTTTGAATCCTGAACAAATAAAATTAGTATTTTTTTTTTTTTGTGGCCGGTCAACCTGAGCAATGTAGACGTATATTGCTGCTGGATTCGACAGGGGTTATAAGTATTGGAGGCGCGATAGATCCTAATGACGTGACAGCTTCTATCTTTGCGAGACGCGTCCCCCACCTTTTGAAAGCAGATAATTTCCCTCATTAATCATATGCAGCAAGCAGGTTTTCTGAATCAAGTAATTGCGAAATTAGCCCAACTCCTTCAATGTGGTCTTTTTCGGCGAAAAGCCGCCAAGATGAATAGCCAACGCACCGGCCGGCGTTAGTGGCTCAAATTAACCTGAAGCTAATCGAGCACAACCAAACTCAAGGAAAGCAGCTATCGAACCTTCCCATTCACTTGACTGCAACATTGGTGTTCCCTCCAGTAAAACACTGTCTGTCGACCTCAGTATACTGTTCCACATCCTTAGAAACAAACCGCTTATCAGTTACCAAGCAGTCGTCACTTTGATTGTCATTAGAGACAGACGAGAAATCAAAACGTTTTTCCGTGATTCCTCCCCATCCAAAAAAATTGAAAGCACGCGACCGTGTGTTGTGAAATAAACGGGCTTTCAAACACGTGATGGAAAGAAACAATCTACTGAGGCTTCACCACACTAATGAACACTCAGGCAAACTTAAGAAATTTTCGGACCTTCGTCAAATTACATTGCTCGCCGCCGCGCCGACAGCACGCGTCCGCGAAAGCCATCAGAGACGCGGCGGGGCGCGGAGCGACCTGGACCGGCTGGTTCCCGGTTTTCCCGCTTGGCGGCGTCCGTTTTGCTGGAGTCGCGAATAAAGATCCAGTACAATTGCACGCGCACTTGATGTCATCGGATGCGGGTGCAATTGCACTGGATCTTTATACAACCGCGTTCGCAACCGCTTTGCGAACGCGGATCCGCTTCCAGTGTGAATGAGTGGTAAGAGCGTGAGCCAAGAGATGCCGTTTCACGCGTTCCAAAGTAGACATGAAAATGAAAACAAAATGAAAGCGTTGCGACACAGGTGTTCGGACGTCACCACCCAGAGATAAGAGACGCGTGCCCTTGCGGTGGTGTCATGAATTTGGCACTTTCGATTGTCCTGCAACGCTGAGTCAGGTCCATTTCTAGCGTCCAAAGGTGTTTTTTTTTTTCGTTCTTCAGCACCACATAATTAAAAAAGCTCAACCAACGTGCCATAAGTAGTGCGAGGCTCAATCAGGTGAGCTTGTACTACCCAAAATGAGGGCGCTACAGTTTGTTCAAAGCTTCAGCGCAGGAGCATTTAACCTATCAACGACAAAGTTTCAGCTTCCCTCCTGGCTTTGTATACAGTACGAGATTTCATTATCTTTGTTATTGAACAATATATCCAACGTTCAGGGTGAACGTGAATGCCACTGCTCACACCTCATACAAAAGACACGTTGTTCGCTGCAGGCATGCCGACATAAGTCAGGGGCGGATGCAGAACTCCGTATTTTTTTCTGTTTTTTTTTTTTTTTTTGGGGGGGGGGGCGGAAATGTTTTAAGGATACTATTCACCCATTCTTTCTGTGCATGTCAAATTGCCCTCCGTGAAGGGAAGAGGGAGGGGGGTCGACTTTGTTTGGGGGGGGGGGGGGGCGGCCGCCCTCTCGACCCCCCCCCCCCCCCCCCCCCCCCTTGGATCCGCCACTGACATAAGTATCTGCGGACACAACTCAAGTATTTTCGAAGTCGAACGTGTCTAAAGACAGTTTCTGTGTTTCCCACGGGGACGGGACCATCACACAAGGAAGAAACGCGCCTCGGAACAATTTCTGCAGACTGACCTTTGTATGATGCATTAGCAGTTTGAGATCAAGCTGAACTGTGGTCTCGGACAGCTGCTGAGTCTACAAGACGTCATCCTCCTCCCGGTACAGTTGCGCACACACGCACGCAACCTCCGCAGTGAGCTAGAGCGACTTTGCTATACGATGTCGCCACCGTGGCACCTAGGGGGGTTTGTCCTGATCGCTACTGCCGCTTGTGGGCTGTCGACGCCCTTGCTGCGTTCCAAGGGGCTGCAGGAGCCGCTCTACACCGGAAATGATCCTGACGCTTGCAAGGACATTGTGAGTGTCTTCGCTGGTCTTTGACTCCGATGGTGTGTCTCTAGCCGTTAGATCCGTAGCTTGTATTGAACGTAAGAACTAACTCTATCTGTATATCCGTTCGGGGCGTACGCAGTGTAGCCCCCTTCTGCGAAACATAAGACGCCGCGCATGCGTACACAACCCAGTGATTCAGCAGTTTTCGTATGGATGATAAGCGGCGCTTGAAAGGTGTGTACACGTTACTTTACAGAGCACGGATTTACGTTGTTTCCAAGGATACCACGCACAGTTTATGTTTAATACCAAGTGCCCGCATGTATCACCCTGTAAAACGAAATGTCACTTTTTTTCTTTTTTTTTTTGTCTATGAGACGAGAAACTGAGAAAGAGGAAGAGACGTTCAGCGTTCGAACACGTTCGAGAGGTGAATACTGTCGAGACCGGTTATAACGAAGTCAAAGGAAATAATCTCTTCGATATACCCGCTATTTCGCTATAACCGACTTCGTTATAACTGGTCTTGACAGTAGAGACAAAGGGAGCTAGCTTTACGTCTACCCGCTAATCATTCCAGTCAGAGCTCGGCGTTCTGATGTCGCCTCTCCCTCAGTTTCTTGGCGCATACAATTTTAAATTTCCATCTATTCTTGAGTTTACCGCTTAATCCCAACATCATTATGTTTGTTAAAGCGGGTATTTAGTTTTACAACAGAAAACCTGCGGCGCCAAAACTTCGGCATTATAGCAGGTACAGCCCATGGTTAATACGCTCAATAAAGAACTAACAAACAGAACACTCGAATATACAGCCCCGGCTTTCAAGAAAGAGAATACATAAACGTTAAAAATAAATAACAACATTAAAAATCAAGATCATTTCCTGAGGCAAACGGTCCCACGTCGTCATTAATAAAAAAAATATTCGGGTGACAGGTGACACTGAGCGATTGCGTGTGGAAAAAAAGAAAACTTGATATAATTTGTCCTAAAGAAAAATTTTCTTTATCTTTCTGGGATGATCCACACGATTTGAAATATAGTTAGGTAATTCTATATATTTGCTTTTATCAATATCTGTCAAATCATCTTGCGTGAAAGAACCTCAATCGAAAATCTTAGCGTGTTAACTATAAAGTTTCCCAACCACGTAAATCTTTAATTTCTGTAGCGCTATTGTTTCTACTATAATTTCCTGTTACAAATCTCTCCGCACGGTTTAGAAGTTTCTATAACTTATTTACAAGGTGTATACTTGATGCGAATCCCACAAAACACATGCTACTCCAGTGTAATGTCCCGGGCACTCTACTCCAGTGTTGGTCTAACGGTAACCAAACAGCAGTAGGCTGTCTCCCTTATTTTCTGTGGAGCCGCCGCGTAAATTTCGAATAAGAAAATTTAAAACTCGGCTGGCCTTTTTCGCAGTTTTAGTGACATGAACATTAAAAAAGTGTGATTAACAAGGTAGTCCCCAAATGTTTAAAATCATGTTATTACTTAATTTATGATGATCAATAAAATAGTATGATGGGACAGGGTTACGTTTCCTCCCAAAAAATGACTTGCTCACACTTATCCCCATTCAAGCCTGATTCCCAAATCCTGCACCAATTTGATATTCTACCCAGATCCAACTAAAAAAATCCGAATCACAGGCAATCTAAATCATGGCATTTAGTACTGTGGAGAAGGATGAGACGACTACTGATTCCGGCAGTGCCCTGGCTCGAATTGCCCTCGTGCTCCCACTGCTCACGCGCCCCCGAGCCATCTTTATTCTTCTTTTTATAACCTTGATTACCCACACATTGTCCTCCCGCCTCCCGATGTCCTAAGCCCTAACGCTCAGCTGGGTCGGCGGAATCAATCACCAAACAAACCGTCATCTTTTTTTTTTTTATTTTTTTTTATTCAAGTTGTGAACGGTGCTGGGTGCTTGGTCGTGAAGACTCCAGCGGCCGGAATGGAAGAAACGAACGAGAAGAACCTCCCTAAGCCCACAACGACTCGCGCGCGCATGCGCAGTGGCGTCGGCGATGTGGTTGAGGACGAACCGCTCGTGTGGAAACGACTCGCTAAAACTCCCTAATAAGGCGAAAACTCCCTAATAAGGACTCGCAGCGCTGTGTTCGCTCATTTCTCGTTCTTGTCCCTTGTCTTTGTCGCGCTGTTTCCAAGTTTGCAAGGACTTTTAGCAAACCGTTGCCGTACCGCACTACCGCAGCTGCTTAAAAGCATGCTTCAAAGGCTCCGGTAGTGCGGTACGCGGAACACGGGAACGGTTTGCTAAACGTCGACCCCTACTATCATGAGGTATCGCACAATGTGGAGGTATACGCGGGAGAGTTTGGTGTGGACGCTGTTTTTAGCACGGACTTCAAGTTGGGGAACCTCATCCGTTTTCTTGCAGAGAGGAAGAGGTGTCAAAAAGCACACAGCGAGAAGTCGCTTCCCCGTGAGACTTGGGTTCAATCAATCAATCAATCAATACTTTATTTTTTTTCACAAGAAAGATAGCAGCTGGGACAAAAAGCTGCAACAAGTGCAGCAGGGTTATATGAGATCTCCTCGGCATATGGGTTCAAATACGTGGGCCATACTTCCAGATGTTTAAATATGACAGATTAGTGAACAAAAGGTAAGGGCGCAAACGAGCTGGTGGTGGTTAAACATTTCGACAAAAACCCCGAGACTGGGACAAAAAGGGACGGACAAACACAAAGTCTTTGTGTTTGTCCGTCCCTTTTTGTCCCAGTCTCGGGGTTTTTGTCGAAATGACAGATTAACCGAGCATAGGCGGAACGTCACATTCAAAGCTCCAAACTATGAAGTAGCGAAGCATGCCCAGGAATGCAGTAATTGTAAAATTCAGTCGACAAAAACGGAAACGAGAAACAGTCGAAATAAAGATGATAGGCAATTGTATAAGCCATCTTTGCAGCTAAAAGTAACGCTTCCAAGGCTTTTCTTCAAGTTCAAGCTTTTTTAGTGCGTGAAGTACGCTATACTATTGCGTATTGCATACGTAAGATCCAGCAACGCTATACTAAAACTGTCTATTAGACAGTTTTAATATAGCGTTGTTTTCTGTTTAGCGGAGGTCATCCCGATTTGTCTTTGTAAGCATCTATATGGGGGGCGCAGTTGTGACGTGTGCAAACTGCATTTGTTCAGAAGAGGAGGCGGCAAGTGGCAGGGCCGAACTGTTTTCGGTTCGCAGCAAGGTTCGAGCTGAGTGCATTGATTGACTTTTTGTGCGCAAAGGGTGGCGACCCTGAGCGTAGGATGTATATTAGAGAAGTTTACCGATTAAACTTTTTGCACAGTTAAAAACTTTGTCCTCCTGCCACTTTTTTTTTTTTTTTTTTTTTTTTAAGGTTTATCTTTTTAGGTTTTTCGCTCCAGTTCTCGGGTAATTCATCAAAAAAGTATTTTGGAAAGTGAACGGTGCGCTCGCCTCCCAACACCACTTTTTTATATTTGGTCGTTTCCTTCTTTTCATTTGGCGACCGGATCAGGCGCGGATATCGCAGGCATTCCCCTTTATATACAGGAGGCTATGCACGCATGCTCGTCGATCACTAAGGTCGCAGTCAGACTGCTTAACATCATCATGAATGCAGACATAATGGCCATTATCTACGAACAAGACTTCGTATACATATATGTACGCTTGGAACATGTCTGCTGCAACCGGTTTTTGCATGACCAACCTGACAGGACCGTTATACAAGGAAGAAACACGCCTCGGTCATCAGGAAGTTGTAGGGAACCAGTTCTGCGCATCCGATACGGTCCTCCGGTACCAACTGCGCATGCGCGAGTCTTCTGCAGTAGCACATGCTCCGTACTGGAGGGCCCACCGTACCCTATCAGATGTGCCAAAACGTTTCCCTGAAGGCCCGTTCACACTCTTGCGACCGAGTAAGACCGAGAGAGACCAGACCGGTTTTTAAGCCTCTTCCGATGTCTTAGGACCAGCTCCGCTGCAACGCATCCGGTCCTAAGAAGTCGCAAAAGGCTTAAAACCGGTCTAGTCTCTCCCGGTCGTACTCGGTCGCAAGAGTGTGAACGGGCCTTCAGACTCCCTGCAGAATGCATTTTCTATGACGTATATTGACAGTCTGATGGCGGCCTTGGTTCAAGCGTAGCCAAGTGCCAGGCAGACAGGCGACACAATGACTGCAGTAGTCGGAGACACTTGTTGGCCATGTCCGCTTCCTCCAGGAACACCTGGTCGTGAGCAAGGGCTACCCGTTCGAGCGTCACCACGTGACCACGGACGACGGCTACGTCTTGGAGATGCACCGCCTTCCCGGAGGCAGGCGGCCCTGCACGGAGCCCTGCCACAGGGAACCCGTGCTCCTGATGACGGGCCTTGGCACGGACTCCGCGTCTTTCGTCGCGGACTTCCCGGACCAGTCTCTGGGTTAGGAGTGACAGCTCGTGTGTCACGTCGTCGGCCAACGCCTTCTCGATGACAGAGCTGTACAGTGCCGAACTTTCGGCGTCATCTATAGTAGGCCAGCTCAGGCACAGATATCGGACACGAGTATTGCGTTGGACGCTGACAGGGTATTTCTACCCGCCCGGGTTTTATTTGAACATGGACAAGTCACCAGTTTAGGCAGAATAACTTCGGGATGTATAAACGTACATACAAAAACGCAATTTTTTATTTGAACATAACCTACAAAAACCTAACTACCCAGAACGCAATTTGCGGCTTGAAATTATTATTTGTTTCACCCGAAAACAGCCGATCGAGAATAGACCGATCTCACCAGGAGTTGCGCAACGCCACGGCTGCCGCGGTGCATTCTGGTACCTGTAATTCTCCCCCGTTTTCCGGCCGCTCAAGTGAGCGTTGTATGCCCGGCGTATGGAAATTTTTGGGTTAGCATAATACCCGTTCCACGCGGGCAACTCGAATGCCATTTACAACGAATGACATTTGAGCGGACGGCCAATCAGCGCGCGACACTCCGGGCGTAGCGCATTCCACGCTCAACAGATTGCGAGATGGGGCCCTAAACTCGTCAAACACAAAGTTGCAGCCGAAAGTTCCCAGAGCGCGCTGATTGGACGTTGGCTAAAAAAGCGCAAAGTCATCGTCATGATAGACCAATCGGTGTGCTCCGTCAACTTCGGCCCCAACTTTCTGTTTGACGAGTTTAGGGGCCCTGATTCGCCGACCACACAAATGTCATTCGTTGTAAATGGCATTCGAGTTGCCCGTGTGGCACGGGTATAAGACTTTTAATCGTGTGTTTACTCACGGCTTTCAATGGCTTCCTCTGATGTGTGCTAGACACAATAACGGCACCAGGCAAAAATGCATCGAATTTTATGTGTTCCTGAAGGAAAACAGCCTCCGACACGAGTGTCTAAGAAAGGTAAACAGAGCCGGACAGAGCGCCAGAAAAAAGAACGTTTTTCAATTTGTTTAAGGATTTGTTTTATAATTTATATCCACCCTACCGCACGTTATCTAAAGAGTGCAATATTACAGGGCACGAGGCATAGTAGGGCTTTTCAAAGAGTTCTGTACGTTGGAACCTTCTTGAGTACTCGCAGAGTAGCGTCGTTCTTAATTGGGACCTCCGCGCTGTTTTGCGGTGGCCGATTTTAATACACTTTTTGCTCGATGTATTTTAGTGGTTACAACTGTTATTACGACCACATGCTTCAATCACAACTAAGCTTCGAAAGGTCGGGACAATCACTAAAACAACGGTGATTCCCGATGTGCATCACTTGAAACGTAACCAACTTTTTGAAAGCAGTATTTTTTTTACACAAAACGCGAACACATTATTAAATACAATTTTGAAGTGCAACACTCAACGCCAAAAAGGCAGCAAAAAACGTAACCCAGTTTGTTGTGGCCTCTTATGCCACAACCTGATTTTGGCTGGTGTTACTAATCCGTTCTACATTAACACCAATCAAGACCGCAGAAAAAAAAAAAAAAGCTTCTACCGTCGGGCGTTTGCTTAAAAAATGAGCTTGAATAAAAATTTCACACGAAAACTCATCTCCACCTAACGTGTTTATGTATCCGGCGTGGTTGCTGATTTTCCACGGATGCGAGTTGCTACGACGCGTCGGGCATGCACCTTTCTGTAGATCGTTTCTTGTTTGTGCGTAGGCTTCTTCCCGCAGGTCATTTGCGCCGTGTCACACAGGCTGTCAGCCAGAATGAAACGACTTTTAGAAAACTAGTCTTTCTTCATTATCGATTAAACGTTATGCACTCCAAGCTCCGTTTCACACCGACACACGCGATGCTGTTTCGCGGGGATACAGCAAGCCGATGGTCTCTCGAATTTTCGTATGTTCCCTTCCCACGTAGCATCCAATGTCGTGCGAACATTCCCTGGGTGTTCTGAATGTTGAAGGAACGTTAAAACACCATTCGGAACGTTCTAGGTACGTTCGTATGCGAACATTCCTTACAAGGTAAGCTGCTCAACATTCTAGAAACGTTTGCTGGCGAACATTGGTATGTACAATGTTCTCGGAACGTTCCCCTTTGAACATTCATATGTGCAACATTCTTGGAACGTTCCCTTGCGAACATTCCTAGAATATTCGCAGGTGAAGCCAACTTTACGGAGCTTTCAAGCAACTTGTGTTTCGAAACACCATCCACTATATGCCACCTTGTACCAAAAATATGCAAATTAAGTAGAGGTTTTAAAAACTTAGCATAAGGGATCAGTTTTATCTTATACGAGTCTAGCGAGGAATGTGAAATAAGGTGGTAGGAGAAAAGCAATGGCCTTCAAAATTTAATAATGAGCTTGGCACTCACTGCGTATGTAGAGGGGCAGTTTTGAATAGACCCGATTTTTAGCATCTCGGATTCAATACCTTGAACAAGGTATGTCCTGCTTGAGTGTGGGAGGCTGTAGGTATCTGTTCTTATGCTCGGAGCACTCGGAGTGAGTAATCGGTTATGTATGCAGCACGTTCTGATAAGTAGGAGTAAACTGCCGTTATAGTACAGGTTCTGGCTAATGTGCGGGAAAAGCGGCTAGATTGTGCTAGGCCCGGAAAAAATATATTTCGATTAAAAAATATTGATTGCTCTTTGAGGAGTTTTATTATATCAATATATGTAGTATCGCTCAGTGGGGCTGTAAACTAAGCAAGCCATAATGGTGGAATCTTTGTAAACATTCCTCAGAGAATGTTGCAGATGTTCTTTGGATGTTTTGGGAATGTTCTTAAAACCTTATTAGAATGGTGATTAAATGATCTGGTCCTGCTCAGAACGTTCTAAAAATATCCCCTAGAAAACATTCCCCGAATGTAGCGATAAGTGCTTGCGCCACATTCTGGCAACGTCGATACAATGTTCTTACGTAAATTTGCAACATTCAGAGAATGTTGCAGAAGTTCTTTGGATGTACCGAGAACGTTCTTAGAACCTTGTTAGGATGTTTCAATGTTGATTGAATGACCTGGTAATGTTCTATGTTGTTCTAGGAACGTTCTAAGAATATCCCTTTGAAGACATTCCCCGAATGTAGCGATAAGTGCCTGCGCCACATTCTGACAACGTTGATAGAATGTTCTTACGTAAATCTTCAACATTCCAAGAATGTTGTCTATGTTATTTTGAACATTCCCGGAATGTTCTCAGAACGTTCCCGTGCTACGTGGGTTGTTTCAAAGTTTATTTAGGCGTATGAGCAGCCGGAGTGCTCGATTATTGGCGCCGTTGTCTTTTTCCACGGCCGTAGTGGGACCACCGCGTGCACGACTCGAAGGTGGCAGCAGACGACGAAGCGTATCTGAAGCAAGAAGACGACTGCATCTGCTTTTCTGCGCTTCCAAACAAGCAAAGACATCCAAAACAACGCAATCTTATAAAATACGCACATGACAGGAATAAGATCTAATACCCGAACGTCCCAAACGACCACCAGCGGAGTAGACTTTACATTTTCCCAGGGGGGGCAGGCTGAGAAGTTCTCCGGGGGGAGGGGGGGGGGGAGGTTCTTTTCCACGCAAGTGGAAAAGCACCCCCCCCCCCCCCCCCCGGAAGTACGCTGGGATTACATTTCCCATGTATTTTTTTCAATAAAGGCAACGTGGGCATTATTTTGTTTACATGCCACTACTATATACACTAAAAAAAAAAGCCCGTGCGTCTCCTTTCCCGCACGACACTCGGAGAGCCAATCAGCGCAACTTACGGAGGCAGCTCAGCGAATGACGATGCCGAAACATATGTTTAGACTAAAAAAACGCAGTCTGAGTTGTGACATTAAGCAATGCAAAAAAAAAAAAAAGCGTGACGTTTTGCATTGCTTAATATCACAACTCAGACTGCGTTTTTTTAGTCTAAACATATGTTTCGGCATCGTCATTCGCTGAGCTGCCTCCATAAGTTGCGCTGATTGGCTCTCCGAGTGTCGTACGGGAAAGAAGACGCACGGACTTTTTTTAGAGTGTAGAAACTCGTTACATGGCACGTAAACAGCGTCTTGGTAAGGATCATGGCCCAAGCCCGGAAGGAAGGGGGGGGGGGGGGGGGGCTCTGCCCCCCCCCCCGCATTTCACTAGGGAGGCATGAGCCCCGATGCCCCCCCCCCCCCCCCCCCCCCCGTAGTCTACGCCTATGCAAACGACGATGCACGATTGTGCACGCGCACCGCAGCCCCACGCAGCCGGAAGACGTAAAGCGGTGACTACAAGTAGCATAGCAATGGCACCACTTCCGGAATGCTTGCGCATGCGCAGTTTGCTTGGTGACATCTGGCGGCTATAGACGCTTTCAGCACTCGCCAGATTGAGCCGCTATAGCCGACCTTCTTTTGTTTCACCTAGATACCGAGCCACTGAAGGGGGTGTTACGACCCTCCACAGAAAGCAATGCTCGGGACAAGGACGCAATAGCACCTAAAGGGGTATCCACACGAAGGAGAACACCGCGGACGGATGTCGTGACGTCAACAACCCATTAAACTCCGTCCCCGGCTCCGCCGCGTGCACCTGCGGAGCTCTCATGCTAAAAGTACGAGGCCTCCGCGCCTCCGCCACGGAGGAGAACGGCGGCGCGAGGCTGCGAGGCGTCTAAAAGAGATGACGTATGTCTCACGTGATGCGCGCTCCGCGGAAGAAAGGGGCGGATTTCTCCTTCGTGTGGATACCCCTTAAAGTGGCAATAACCTGTCCTGCTGTGGGAATGATGAAGTCAAGCGAACATTATAAGAGGAAAGAAAAACTGAAGGTCGGTTATGGCGGCGCCCATGCACAGCTGCTTCAAAGCGTCTATAGGGGTATTCACTGGACGCCATATTTGAGGGCGATGTTTAGAGCGGATGGTCAGAACGAGCTCACATTAATAGGCTGCTAAGACCGGCAGTCTTGATGGTGCGGAATGCACGTTTCAAAAGAACTGTGGAAGCTTGTCATCCGCACGCGCTCAGCATTATCGCCCACAGATATGGCCGCCAGTGAATACTCCCTATAGGGAGTATTCACAACACGCCATATTTGTGGGTGCTGTTTAGAGCGCATGCTCAGAACGAGCTCACATCAATAGGCTGCCAAGACCGGCACTCTTGATGGTGCGGAATGCACGTTACAAAATAACTGTGGAAGCTCGCCATCAGCACGCGCTCAGCATTCGCGCACACAGCTATGGCCGCCAGTGTGCGTGACTGCTGAGCGCGTGCTGACGGCGAACTTCCACAGTCCTTTTGCGACGTGCATTCCGCACCATCAAGATTACCGGTCTTAGCAGCCTAGTAGCAAGAGCTCGTTCTTAGCACGCGCTCTAAAATTCGTCCTCAAATATGATGTCCAGAATATCACGTTCCAGTCGCGCTCACTCTCTTTTTCCTGGTCCGTGGCGTTCAAACTATGTGTACCAAATATATTCAAAGTCGTGGGTCATCTGAGGCACACACTCAGTATTAAAAATAGAGAAAAAAACAAACAAACATGAAGCCCATTGTTGTGGCCCAAATAAAACAGCAAATACGTTGATCGAAAAAACAACAACATGTTGCACAGATTACATAAAGTACATGCACGCGTCATTCTCAATATTGCGATGTATTGCGGACTGGACGACGCAACGTTGAAGGAACGACGGACAAACATTGCGACGGATGTGGGGCCGCTGCTTCGGAACTGTCGTCTGTGCGAGCGGAAGGGATATAAGTGTAAAAAAATCGCACGACAAATGGTACACGCAACTTTGTCGTTGTCGTCGTCTGCGTCACACGCAGTAGAAGTGGAAAAAAAATGCTGTTGAGTGTGGCCACGTGATTTCCGGCCATGAGCTTTTGTGCTCTTGTCTCGGCTTAGAGCAATTAAGTAACCTGGCAAAAAATTAAAACGAAATTTGTGGAAGAGAGAGCGTCGACCGCAGAAATCGGTTTCGTCACCGATCGCTCTACGACTTTCTGCAGCATTGCCCACGTGTGGGCGATGCTGCCCAAAATCGTAGAGCGATAGGTGAAGAAACCGATTTTCGCGGTCCATTTAAAGAGCCTGGCCGCTATTTGAGGCGACTTGTATATAGATTATGAGCGATCGAATCACATAATAAAAGCAAAACTTTGTTCCGGAACGTCGAGTTGCAGGGTTTCTGTTGGCAGACATCGGGTACGACGTGTGGCTGGCCAACACGCGAGGAAACACGTTCGGAAAACAGCACGTCAACCTGTCCGTCAAGTCCAAACGCTTCTGGGACTTCTCGTAAGTTCGCCCACAAAGCGGTCGGTTGTCAGACTCCTCCGCTTTTCACACGGATGCGTTGCTTCACCCGTCTTCCGCAGCTTTCACGAGCATGGCATCTACGATGCTCCGGCGCAGATCGACTATGTCCTCAAGGAGCGACAGCTCAGCTGTCTTCTTTACGTGGGCATCTCTCAAGGCACCCTCATGTTCTTCGTCATGATGTCCGAAAGGCCCGAGTACAACGCCAAGGTACGCGCACGGCCAAGAGATCCTCCTGATATACATCGGGTCTTGCAGCAAGAGGGAGCATTCCGGTTTTCCGGAAGGGGAACCGAGCGCTTTGAAAGATCAAGGCCGCAGTCCTGGAGCTTCTACGTCACCTATCGAAGGCCAGCGATATGCGTGGATTAGACACGAGGGCTGCGAGTCAGCTTTCGGCTGGGGTTCGTGTCCTCGCTGAGTGTGCAGGAGTCTCCAAACGCTGACACAGCCCTCGAGCCCGCGCACCGCGCAGGTCTGCGGCCTGTGACGTAGGGATCCAGTGATATGGCCTTGTCTAAAAGGTGTTGCAAGGGTAATCCAGTATGGATTACCCTCGCCCAAAGTTGCGCAGGTTGTGTGGTTCTAGGCTGGACCACAAAACAACTTTGGGGGAGGCTGACTCTGTTTGTTATCTAGATGTGTTGGATGTTCCAGGCGGGACTTATATTCAGATTTCTCGCAGGTTAAGGCGTTCGTAGCTTTGGCACCATTTCGGAAGTTCAACAAGTCGCCGCTGACAATCGTGAAAGCTTTACCAGTCACGGAACGACTGCTTGTGAGTGACTGGTTTATCATTCATTCACTGTATACGTCAAAGCTAAAGGGGCATGCTTGTTCACGTGCCCCAGAGAGAAAAAAAAAAAGTATCGTTACGTCGTGGAGTTGAGCTGGTGTATATAAACCGAAAGTTTGTTTTTGCACGAGTTCCGGCTCCCACAGTACTGCTGCCCAGTGTCATGCAGACGGAAATACCAACAGACTCGTGTTTTGCTTCGTGTCGCTCATAAAAGAGGCTGGCCGGATACGCCAACCTGGACAAGCTGACTTCCCACAGTGTCCTGAACGCATACACGGCCAAGGGAGTGTGCGGGTTGTCCGTGCAGAGCGTCTGCACTGCGTTGGCCGACAAGATCATGAACTTCGGCAGCAAGTACGCCAACAGGGTCAGTGGCGGTTTCTCTGTCACCGGAGAAGTATAGGCTGTCGCAGGGTATGAGGAGCACTCGTGGGGGATCGGTGGCCGAGTCTGCCAGGCGAAAATCAGTCCACCTCCAGCTGGATTATGGAACTGGAAATGAGGCAGTCCAGCTGGATTCCAGCTGGACCCAGCTGGACTGCCTCATTTCCAGTTCCATAATCCAGCTGGAGGTGGACTGATTTTCGCCTGGTTAATAGCTGGTAATGCACTATACAGCTTGCACCGCAGCTGCCGTTCTTCGGTCGCTCCGAATGCTACCAACGCAGCTGCATGGACCACGCATCACGAGCTGCAGCGCTCGTAACTTCTTGAAACGATCTTTAAACATCGGCTTTGGCCTAGAAAATATACAAAGTAAGTGAACAGCCCAATCAACACACCATTGGTTTGGGTGTATGGGGGAGCTCTTATTTTTCCAACAGTGAAGACGTCACTACAGATAGATAAAATACAGATCATGAAACCTTTTTTGGAGAAAGATTAAAGTCACAAAATGACATACCACAAATTTACACACATACCACAAATTTACACAATGACGGCGTAATTTATGACTAGAACTAATAATCATCAAATAAAGCAATACACCGGCATACTTTGACTACCTGCAACAGCTTTGTATTTATCACTTTCGTTTGCAAGACCGCCCCAACGATGACCGGCGCTGAGGAAGTCTTTTCCTTCGTATTTTCTATCATGTGCAGTTCGCTCATTATTTTTTTTATTTTTGTTTAGGATTGAGCCCCTAAAATGACTCTTCCGTAATGTTTGCGAATTGTTTGCACGCGGATTTTTCTCACTACTTGGACAGCTACTGGCATGAGCCACTGGACAGCCTGTGACAACCGGTGGTATTCGCATTCAGCCAAGATATCATGACAAGATTATCGCGTTGTGACGACAGCATCAAGAGAAACCTTCTAAACTGTTGTTTAAAAATCTTAAATTTGTTTCCCGCTTGAAATAGTCGTCCCAAACGCGTCCAATCCCCTGGATAACGTAGGAAAAGCATGCTGACGGCATGATACCTAAACAAATGTCTGCTTTTGTGACCTTATAATTTATCTGCCATTGCAGTTGTGATCAGTAAATTGAGTGGTTCAAGCGCACTGGCCGTAATGAATTGTTTCAACGTTTGGGAAATCTAAATGAGGCTTAAAAAACGTATTATGTCGTCTACTTTCGTAGGCTGCAGGTCTGCCAGAGGTGTCACTGTCGTCATTTGTAACTACTTCCAATGGGTTTCGAAGAAATTTCCAGCACAAGCCTTTATCGTATTTGCTAATAGTACTTATAGGGTCTTCGAGCAGGACTGCGAGTTAGAAACATTTTTCCACTCACCAGTTCTTAGTGACCAGGGCTGGTGAGTGGATACATTTTTATTTATCCAATGGGCGCCAGCTATCGATATGTGCGGGCACCAGGGCGCACAGTTGAGATTATTGAGGTGCACCCACACTCTAAAAAAAGTTTGTGCGTCTACTTTCACGCACAACACTCGAAGAGCCAATCAGCGCAACTTACGGAGGCAGCTCAGCGAATGACGATGCCGAAACACATGTTTAGACCAAAAAACGCAGTCTGAGTTGTGACCACGGTGGTTGTGACATTAAGCAATGCAAAACGTCACGACCCTTCCCCCCCCCCCCCCCCCCCCCCCCCCCCCCCTTTCCGAAACAAAATCCTGGCTACGTGCCTGTCTCAAGCTATCGGTTAAGCCTCCATCTCACCGCTAATACATCATGCAAAAACATGGTTTGCGAACATGAAAAAAAATTATTTACGGACTCGTCCCAAGCATGTTTTAAACATGTTTTCTTCGTATATATACGTACTCTTCGGACATGTATGCAGACAGTTCTTGTAAATCCAACGTGACAAAAGTGTCCACATGAAGAAAAAAACACGCCTCAGACGGTGTATGCGGACTGGATGGATGGGCGCTAATCTCTTTGTAACGGGCTGTAGCTTGCGCCACCTAGCCTAAGTCTAAAAAGACAAACATGTGATTCCTCCCGCCCTTCTAAGCCAATTTTCTGACTTTTGTAAAAAATTGGGTTGTGTGTGTGTTTATACAGCCTAGAACTTGGTCTGCCTCACAGGGGCGACGAGTCTCCCAGCTGTAGATGAGAAATTTAGCCAGTGCGGTACAGCCGCTAGCCTGGGGTCTTTAACGTGCACCACGCAGTAGTAATACACGACCGCACGTCGGTACGATGCTCATCCAGATCGAAACGGGCAGGGGTGGGGCTCGAACCCAGGATCCCTGGGTTCTGCAGCGCGAGCTTTCGCTCCACGTGCTCCTTATGTATTAGCACTGTGCGTAGGGCTTCAGGGGGCGAGACTTCAGTTCTGGAAACTGCTGCGAGCATCAAGGGTCAATGGCGTGTTGAGCCCAAACCACCTGGGACAAGCAAGGCCCGTGAACTACGTCGCTAACCCAGTGGTTGGGTCCCAGCCTAATGCAAAGCGTCCTTGGACCCGTTGACTGAACACAGGGCCCAACCAAACTCTGACTCAGCGCGTTCCCTCTTGTCGTTACAAATAAAACACCTCGAATTTTAACCGAATAAAAAAAGTCGAAACGAGCAACCTAATTCTCACTCCCGGTAATTAAAAAAAAATTCATAAATCGACTAAGTTGCTATGGGAGGCGTGCGATGCGGGTGCGAACGTTCTCTGACCAATATCTTTCGCTCGTTTTTTTTATGTTTTTTTTTAACAGTCTAGGATGCCTGTTTATTTGTGCAAACTTCCCGCCGGCACGTCCATGAAGAACTTGCAGCATTTTTTGCAGGTATGTCCATAAAAGTGTCCGAGCTGGTGAGCCAAGGTCGTAACCCTTTCTCTTTTTTTTTATGCCCGCTGCGACAGCTCATGATCTCTAAGAAATCTCAGAAGTTCGACTACGGCCCGGAGAAGAACGCCGAGATCTACGGGCAGGTGCGAAAGACCATCTGTGCGCCTGCATTACGCTCCTCTGATCACGATTAACTTCGAGCGCCTTACGTAGTAATCCGGTCAATTTGTAAATAGTATCTGTTGCGTCCATAGCTTAACGTCACTTAAGAAGAGGCCTACAAATTACCTTAAAATTCACGGGTATTCTTTTTTTTTTTTTCGGTAAAGGGTTCAGCAATGTGTCAATATTTCACTCTGCTCTGCACCACTTGCGGTGCCCCGCTGGGATGAGTATTACAACCTGTGCTCTTGAACACATACGTTACCGATCGAGCTTTAGGTTCCTTAAAATCCAATATGTATTCATACATTGACGATACAAGTTGGAACAACTTGTATCGTATATAACAAAAAAAAAAAAAAAAAAAAAAACATGTCTTTTGAAAAAGCAATACTGAGATTATTATTTATTTCTAACATCAGGAGTTGACATATTAACTACGTTTCATTATTTCATTATCCGAGCAACGTGTAGAGGTCGAAGCTATATATAGACCAACGCGCTATTTAGTTCGTGTTTACCCACACCAGGTGTGGTCGCTGCACAAGCACGGAAGCCGGATTCGCTTGAGGTAGAGCTGTCATGCCCACGAACCCGACCGACAACAGCGCCACCGTTTGAAAGCCGCGGTGAACTGGCATACGCCGGCGAACGCCTTACGGTTTCCCACAATATGAAAGGCCCAGGCAGTTTGTGCGGTGGCACGCGCATTACGGCCAGTGACCTACCTTATAGTTGTAAGCCGCGTTCACACTGTTATTACATTATCCAAAACACAGTCTGCAGATAATGATATGCGTGTTAATTAAAGACTTGAGCGTGTTGGTGATCTACATTGACTTAAAACGAAAGAAACACATAAGAGGACGAAACAGACGACACAGCTTTCGACCTGCAACTACAGAACTACAAATCTGTAGTTGCAAGTCAAAAGCTGTGTCGTCTGTTTCGTCCTCTTATGTGTTTCTTTCGTTTTAAGTCAACCTGCGTGTCCTCAGATAATACTCTCATCATGTTTGATTTATGAGCAGCGTGACGATAGCTTTAGAGGGAGAACAGAACAAATATTAATTAATTGCCTCACCTCAGTTAATATGGTCCTGGTCAATGTGATTCCAGCGTAACCCCCTGAAACTGCCTCTTAAATGGGGCTTTCATATTGATAGGGACTGTATAATACGCCCCCCCCCCCCCCCCCCCCCTTTTTATCTCCCCTGCCCCCTGCAGGCCGAGCCTCCGCTGTATAGCCTAGACACGATGACCACGGACGTGGGCGCCTTCTGGAGCCTCGGTGACAAGCTGGTCTTCCCGGACACCGTGGCCCAGCTCATCGAGGACCTGGGACCCCGGGTCAAAAAGAACGTGTACATCGACGACCCGGACTACACGCACATCAATTTTGTCAACGCCCTCATCAACCCGGAAGTCCTCTTCCCCGACCTCCTGGAGTTCCTCGCACGCTACCTCGGACGTCCCTGCGAGCGCGGCCTGGAACCCCATATGAACGAAGAATAAAAGAAACATCGGAAAATCCAGTTGAGAACTTGCAATCGCTATTTAATTTAGGCGCCTGTCGTTTTGCTCTTGCCTACTAAGTTTGAAAGCAACCACAAACGGAGCAAGAATAGGCCCGTATCTCTCAAGTTTGGGCAGCGCCCCTGCAGGGGCAGCAAAACTTAATATTTCTGGGTCGCGTTTTGGTAGTGCGTCATTACGCTCTTTTCCGACTGTCGCAGTCTTGCAGAATTTCATTGCTTTGTATAAATTTGTGAAATAAAATAACAAGAAAATTTAAGCTAAAAGAAAAGCATGCATTTTTTTATCGTTTTGATAAGACGCCAAAAGTGCGGGCTGCATTTCTCTTTTGTTTACTTAAACTTTGTTTCAACTTTGATTAGTCTTCTCAGACGCTCAGTTTCAGGTTCTGACGCACGCTCGTGAACGACCAGGGCTTGTGCACGTTTGAACGCTGCAGTTCAGCTTTAAGGCCGGTTCTCACATGCAGGGAAGGGCTGATGTAGCGCTGCTCACGTGTCGTCAGCTGCTTATCGTCTGCCATGAACAACAGTTTTGACAGTACGATACAAAGCTGGTAAACGCTCCCGTCAGCACGTGCTTAGCGCGAGGTCAGTGCTAGCTTGTAGCGCCCCACAGCATGTGTGAACAGGCCTACTCGATCATGGTCGCGTCTAGCCCCCTGGTCGAGAGAACTAGGCCTATTACTGCATATCTTAATCCTGTGGATAAAGCCAGGAGACAGGTAACGTGCAGCGTGTTTGCAGCTGCGCTGGTTTCGAGTGATTGGAACACAAATGTCACGTGACGCAGCGGCATGTAATATTATAATATGGTGTCACGTGACACAACTAAATTATCACACGAAAGTGGTTAGTGTCACCCACCGGGTTCGAATCCCGGTCAGCAATCGGAGGACGGGGCTTATGCGGACAAGACGATGTGTAACCGAGATTCGGACTGCACGAAAAAAAAAGTTCCCAGGGGTCGCAATGAATCCTCAGTCCTCCGCTGGCAGCGTTCGATCTATCAATCGGCAAGCTCCATGGAAGAACGGCGTTCGAAGACGGTTTTTCTCTGTCCCCTGTAGGCGGAGCGGGTTTTTAGCGCCACCGGCAGCAACGCCTCCATGCACGAGCAATGGTGAAGGACCGTTTCCGAGCAACGCTTTTTCTGCGCAGACTTTTGCGCAAACTTTATGTTAGCCGTACAAACCACAATCAAATCACCTTCCACCATAGGCAATGTTCATTGAACGTTCCACCAGTTTTGTTTCTTTTGTCCATAGGGCGGGCTGATGGCGTATGCGAGCATCACCGAGCGGACGAGCCCGGAACGGGGGATAGGCGTTTTGGGAAGATTGTCAACTGACTTTGATCTTCTAACTTTGTCCGCTGGGACGTGCCAGTTGCCTTTCGTTGGTTTTGGCACGCATAATAGCCCCTTACCCTGACGAATAGCGAGCACTATAGCCTATTTCACCTTATGATGTACCGCAGTAAAGGCTACAAGCGCGAGCTCCTTGCTCTAGGACACATGTCGGCGGCACGAGCTCTCGTGTATGAAGGGCAGCTGTCAACGCTATGAGTTCGCGCTTCTAGCCTTCGCTGTGGTACAACATAAGGTGGAACGGAGTATAGGCACGCGCTCGCCCAGCGGATTCCTGCGGGAAATGCGAGTGATTTCCCTTTGTGCCGCGGCAAGCGGCAAGAGACCGATCTCAATAAGCGTTCGGCGCATGCGTGACGCCGCCATAACTTGAGTTCACGGGAGGCAGACAGCCGTGCATGCGAAAGCTCGTGCCGTCTCGTGCTCCACACGTGTAAAGCTCCAGCAAGGTTGTTGCGCGTGCAGAAAGACTAAAGTTCCCTCGATGCATTGCGGCAGCGGTGGCGTAGTCAAACTGGCTGGTGAGATCGGTCTAGTAATAATTGTTTTCACAGTTTATGACGGAACAATAGACCCGTTTCGAAATTAAGTGCCATCTGACGGTGCAAATAGCAGTTTATATTTTACCGTGTGGCGGTGATCGACCTGCAGTCTGCAGTATTTTGCCAGGCACCACCACTTTCGCTAGTCAACAGTAGTCGAAGATTTGTGTTTTTACCTTACAATTCTTTCTGAATCGCTAAGTTTCGATGATAGCAAATATACAACCGTTAAGGAAAAACACCGAACCACATTGAAGCCGCGATAAAATGTCATACATCAAGGGGCTGTAAAGCCTGTTATGTGCCGCCCACAGATTGACTGCATGGACCCGAGTTAGAAATGAATGCTTCCGCAGCTCTTCGCATCATTCGCCTCGAAGCATCTTGAACCTCTTCCATCATCAGTAATTACAAGGCCGCCATTAGTACGATATATGCCATTCCTTAGATGATGATAATGATCAAAATGACCAGACTGAATTTCGGAAAGGGGTCTATCTGTGCCCCTGAGAGCCGTCGCTCGACCGCTCGACCACGGAGACCGGATGCTCCGAGTCCCAAACCAGTGAGCGCTAGCTATTTGCTAGGGGAAGGGCTATGTGGAGCACAAGTTCGTCTGCTTCTTTTGCAAGGGTTGCGGTGACGTGAGAACGACACCGAGTTCTGATTGGCGCTGGTTGAAGGACAGTGGGGAGACCTCAAGGCAGCTTGCTCTGAGCTCTACCCGCACACTATCCTTAAATAAGGGCCAATCAAAGCTCGGCGTTTTGGCGTCACTACAACCCTTGCAAAGGAAGCAGACGACTTGCTCTTTGCATACGTTATAATCGCCAAACATGACTTTTCTTTTTTTTCTGGTCCCACGCGCGCCTATGCCACTTGACCAATGATTTCCCTACACCCTCTCCACGGGGATGTACTCCCCCCCCCCTCCCCCTTGTTTTTCCGAAGGCACCCCCTTAATTCACAACGACTCGTATATTCTAATTGCCCCCCCCCCCCCCCCCCCCCCCTAATTTCAATTCCTGGGGAAACCCCTGCACGTTATACACTATTTAATCCCCAAGATAAGGGGCTACCCGAGGCCGTGATTAACAGAGTTTGTTGCCGATGGGGAGTGTTGATATGGTGACAAAGAGTTATTACTAAAAAAATTACATATAGGCGTTTGCAAGGACGGGCTCTGGGCGCCGCCATCTTGCTGTTGGCGGGAGTAGATTGTCTGATAGTCAAGCATGCTGAGGCCGTGACTCCTTCTTTGGTCGATAGCTCGCGGTGAATGGTGGAAGTTGGGAGGCGCTCTCGTTAACACACGCAGGGTTCGTTCCTGCTTGGAGAATCTGAAAAATATTGCTTCCGATAGATTTCACCATCGTTTTAGTAGCAAACCCACATGCTGACTAACATCGTTTGAAGTTTCATGCGTGAATGCGTCTGGATTGAAACACCGCCCACCCACGAACACAAGAAGCCCTCATTGACGAGTCCCCACAAGTAGCGCCTCTCTGCATATAGCTAACACACGCAGTGTTCGTTGCTGACTGGAGAATCTAGAAAACAAGGATTCTGATAGATTTTAGCGTTGATGTAAATGTCAATCCCATATTCCGACTAACATCGTTTGAAGTTTCTAGCGTGGATGTGCTTGGACTGAAACACCGTCCACTCACGCCCATAGGAAGCCATCTTTGAGGCTCATACACGCGGGGAGCTATACCAGTAGCGCCTCTGTGCTTTAGAGCCACATAATAAACCCGTAAAATAAATCAAATTAAAATTTTGCTTAAATTGAAAATTTAGACTGATGAAGACAACGAAATTGACATTCACTTTCTTCCTTGTGGTTTTTCTATAGATCAATAAACTCCTCTGTATATCAACGAAAGAAAAAAATATGCGGCTTTCAACTCAATTGATAATGACGTCCGACAACGTTCATGTAAAAAACCAAAAAAACAGAATGGCAACTTTTTGTAACTTTTGGGAGTTGCCTATTTTTCTTTAATTTTCGCTAAATGTAACTTTGCATGCAGCGCAGTGCACTAATGGGGTTAATTTCACTTACTTTTCAATTATCCTCATTCGTGTTATGTGAACTGAATTGCATTAACATTCAGCGAGAGCTAATGTCGGCATCACTTAACACCATTACGCTAGTGTAGTAACGCTCTGCATTTATTGTGCGAAGGGCTGGTCACGTGGCATGGATCGCTCATACCCGCGGGAAGCAATACCCGAATCGGTCAACCAACCCGCCTTTAGTTCAAAACACTCGCTTGCATGCCAAACGGTATACAAACGCGAATGGTGTTGTTTTATGAAAAATACTACGGGGGGAATCGAATTTTGAGTCCACTCAGCTTTGAAAGAAATTTTATGAAATGACGTACGCGCTGTAATTTACGCTGGTTTCTCGCTGAGATGTACGGCATATTCCAGACGTCATTACTTTGCAAACGCAATTTACGCGGAAGCCTTGTTTTGCGAACTAAAATTTCTCCGCCAGGGGTTCCAGAGAGCTGAGAATTTTCGTGTGTCACCCGCATTCACTTTCCGATTCTGCGAGTAGACAGGATGGCTTCATTCAACGTCAGGGTGTTCCCATCCCCCAACCCAAGTCCAGCATAGATGCTAGATCCAGGCGCTTCAGAACAACGCCATTTGAGCCATGCTTGAAATCACTGTTGCCATTATTTGAAATCACCGAAAGCTCTCTCCAAGATGATGTCTTCTGAGTTTTCCGACATATTTCAGCACAGAAGTCTCATCTTTTGAGTCTAACTATCCCGAAATTGCGTCCGCGTATAGCACTAAGAGCCAAAATGGCGGCAACCACAAGTTAATTGGGTAGTTGAGTGAAGAGACTGCTCTGGTCCGTCCTTCATCAAATCCTTCGGCCAGATGCACTGCCTGTCCGTTCGGCCCTCGTCGATGGGGAGATTCGATGCTGATCTTTCAGTAGCCTCGCTTCTAAAAGAAGCTTCGCTTGCCAAAAGTTGTATAGGAGTGGAACGAACGTAGACATCGGATGATAGTCTGTTTCGATGTTTTAAAGGGTGGTACTCTAGCGGCATTCCAGCGCGGGTTTCTTAACCTGCGACTTCCATAGCCCCTTGTGTAAGCTGAAGGATCGAGCTGGGCTTTGGTCCTTAGGCAGGTGAAGCCGATTTTGCAGACTTTAACGTGAAGAAACTGAACGATTCGCTCGCGTCCTATTTCCTATGCAAGTCAGTGTGCGTAACTATTTATCGGTAGAATGAAAGCCTACCTTGGTTCCCCAATTACTCGTTTTCCCCTTGAAAATTCAGTATCGAAAAAGAAAGCAACTAAATACTGCACTTTTAGTATGAAAACAAGTGAACCATGGCCTTGAATTTTCGAATAATAAATAATGTTTTCCGATTGACGTGTGATCTTAGATTAAGCAACGTGTATTTAAACTACATCGTACATCGGTGGATCAAAATTCATTTAAATATTACAAACCGTAGGTAATTTATTTCCACATTAATTACATCCAAAATGACGATATAGGGTACACCGAAATAATAGGGTCATCGGTATTTTATGCAGCATGCACTTTCCTCATCTTTAGCTTCCGTGATTTCACTGTATCCGCTTTTCAGTCTCGATGAAGCAGTACCAAAAAAAGCAAGTTCAGTAGACCGATATCAGCAGGCAGCTTCGCTACGCCACCGCTGTCGCCGTGCATTGTGGGAACTGGAGTCTTTCTGCACGCGCACTAACCGCGCGGAGGGTCTGCACGAGACGGCTCAAGCTTGTCTCGTGCACTGACGCTTGCCTTCTAAAGCCTAGTTCACATGCAGCGGTTTTGGCCCTAGAGCGGCGCGATTTCTGCCGTCGCGGCACTCTGGCCAGCACCAGCAATTCTGCGGCACGAGCGCCGCGACGGCAGAAATCGCGCCGCTTTAAGGGGTATTCACACGAGGGAGAAATCCCGGGGATTTCTCCCCGACACGCGCGCATCACGAGATGAAAACGCGAGGCTTTTGCACATCGCAAAGCCTGACGTTTTCGTCGTGGGATGTGCGTGCCGGGGAGAAATCCCCGGGATTTCTCCCTCGTGTGAATACCCCTTTAGGGCCAAAATCGCTGCATGTGAACTAGGCTTAAGACCTACAGTGACTACAGTTATGGCGGCGTCACGCAGCGTGGAACTACAACCTCCTATATACTGACAAAGCCTGGCAGATCGCCACGAGAAGCGGCCGCCGAAACGGAAAAGGTGGAGCGGCAGAAAACGGATGAGAGGAGAGCCACGTGACTGGCGCCCCGATGCGGCGAGACGCCGAAACACACCTCTCCCGAGCGGACAAGTGTGTTTCGGGTCTTCGCCACTGCAAAAGTTGTGCGCTGATGTCCAGGTCCCCCAGAAATGGCTCTTTGATGCTCTATGCTACCAGATCCTCGCACTCCAAATCTGCGGTTGGGCACTCTAGGGCTCCGTCGTCGAACAGGCTATGGTGGAACATTTGGCGTATTCTGACGTATGCCTGCTCACGCGCACTTCTGACGTCATGACGGAGACTTGGCGAACACGGGCAGACGGCTCGCGTCTCTCCCAGCAGGTTTCTGAGCACGGCAGTGATCAAGCGTACCTGGTGTGGACGAAGGCTAGTTATATTCGCGAAAGATTGGATTGTGTCGTGTAGGTCGTTTTCTTTGTATTGGGTGAATCGAGTCCATGGATGCTCCGTTCCAGACAAAAATAACTGCAAATAGTTTTCTTGCATTGACGCCGCCAGTCCTCCAGTCGATCGCAATGACCAAAAGCGTCGCTGTGGTCGTATTTGGCCATACACTCAACTATGACGTCTTAAAATGAACAAATTCCGCTTTCATCGATGGTAATGAGAGTAATGTCAGACTGTCAACGTTGACTTCAGGCTTCCTCCGTGCTTTTACACAGACCCCCAGTCTTGCCGTGCGCAACTGATAAGTAGCGAGGATCAGAACGTGTGACTTCACGGCGAGGCAAATCCTGGTGGTGATGTCACGTAGGGGAACCATAAAAGGGTGCCTCCGATTGACAGGGAAAATCGCAAACGAAAGGCTCGACACTGTATGCTCCCCTCACGTTGACAGTACAGCGGAAGCTACGCCTTCGCCGGACCAATCAACTTCCTCCCTTTCATCAGCTCACCCCGGCCTCTGCACGTGGATATACGAGCGGGAGTGTAGTCACGTGGCGAAAGGTACGCGTATGACTGGTTCAACAAGCAAATAACTTCCACCGCACTGTCAGCTTGGAGATGAACTCAGCATAGTACAGTTGGTCTCCCTTGGCGAAGAATTACGATCCGGGTCAATAACTTTTTTTTTCATAGTACGTAGCTCTTCGCGAAAAGTAGCGTATGCCACTCACGTACTGATGTCGAGTTGTAATATCTCAATATGCATGAGGCGACTCGCTAGCTGAAAAAAAAAAAAAAAAAAGAAAACAGGGAGAAAAAAAAACGACAAATGCGACGGAAAATGGGTAAAGGAGGTAATTCACTTGCATTGAGTAATGTTCCAATCACGAGTAGCGAGTTGTCAGTGTGCACACACTTCTGGAGACTGTATTTCCGAGTTCGAGGTTCAAGTCCGCGTTCAAAGTTATAAATTAATACGCGCAATTATCGAGTTTACGTTTGTCGCTTCAAGTTCTAATTTACATTTTAAGTTGCTTCTCCAACTTTTTTGATCCAAGTTCCACGTGCAGCGTAAAGCTCAAGTTACAAATTTATGGTTCAAGTGAAGGGTTCAAGCCTACAACTCCAAATTAATTCGAAACTTTCAAGGTCAAGTTTTGTAGGTCTGTTTAAGGAACAAAACGTCGATTTCAAGTGTCAAGCGAAATTTCTGTTTCGATCTCAAGCTTCAGGAACGCATATGGAATATATTGAAGTTTGGCCACTGCTTTTTTCCGATACCGCTCTGTGGATTTGTATGTGAGTTTTACCAGATTCGACGGAGTCATCCCCTCGTCCAAGATGCTGTTGAGACTGCTCACCAGCTTGATGCTGAGCAGCATCACGACAACCGTCAACTTTCCCGCACTTTTGATGGAACCTTACAGCGGCAGCGATCCGGATGTTGGCAAGAGCATCGTAAGTCAGTTCCAAATATTAGAGTTTTAAGGCCTGTTCACACATACAGCGGAGCGCTAAGTTAGCGCTACGTGAGCGCTCCAAGGAGCGCTCAGGCGCTTCCTAGCGCGTGACTTCGTTCTAATATAGCGCGTGATTAGCGCTCCAGTAGCGCCTTGTTAGCGCTCCAGTAGCGCCTTGTTAGCGCTTCACTAGCGCTTCTTGTACCGCGGTGCTGCGGATTAGCGCGTGCACTGCGGTTCTGGTTCCTGTGGTTGGGTGTGCATCAGCAGCACCATGGCGGGCATGTGGGATGCTGAAATAGAAATGCAACAGATACTCTTACATACGCAATTAGTGCATATGTGTGCCGACGGCTTAACGCAGAGGAGCCTTCTGGGTGCGCGAGATCTTTCGCCACCGAGATACCAACGGGTACCCGGCGAACCTTGTTCCTAGGCTGAGGGACCGAGACACAGAGCTCTCTCGAACGCGATTATTTTTAACTGCGTGTCTGTGAAACTGGTCACGCATATCGAATAGAAAGCGATGAGGTCTATACTTAATCAATTAGTCCCTCAGAGTCCGATCGCCTGCCCGACCCTTTGCTTGGAGATCGGCTCTTTTACTTCCTCGTCTTTCAATGCAGTAAGGTTGACATTTGGGCTAGTTGGTACCAACCGCGCGAGAAACCTTCTTCTAGAATACCTTGATAAAAATCACGACTTGAGTTTCTTACAAGTAGAGCCAACAATTGTTCTGTAAGCGAGCAAATCGCTGAATCGGTTTTCATTGCTTTTTGTGCCCCATACTAGCGATGCTAAAAAAAAGGATCGTCAAAACAGATGAAATACGCGCAAATATAGGTGTCGACAATGTTGGTCGTGCGGGATAGTGCCCTCCGAAAAGGGCGACAGCGGGAAGCACGGCCAAGGGTGTACGGGTGAGCAGACGCTTACCGGGAAAAGGATCCATACAGTGCCAGTCATCGATGCTATATTCTGTCTTGCAGGAGTACATGGTGACGAGCAAGGGCTACCCTTTCGAGAGGCATCGGGTAACCACCGAAGACGGCTACATTCTGGAAATGCATCGCATCCCTCATGGACGCCAGGCGTGCTCAGTGCCATGCTCACGGCAGCCGGTCTTCCTCATGTCCGGCTTTTTGGTCGCTTCCATTACCTTCGTCCTCAACTCCCCTCGGCAGTCGCTGGGTACGGGACAGGCCAGCTCCCTTTCCTTCTACTCCTGTCGGACTCCAAACCCTTGCATTGTCGATACCAACTTCGTCGAGCGAAAGCTGTGCCTCGCTCAAAGCAGTCGGAGCCAACTGGATTCCTATTTTTCACGCGCTTTTATGCGGTGTCCCTGAGTCACACTAAAAAACTAAGCCTAGAAAATGGGTTCTCTTTCTATACTCGTAATCCCCTCAAAAACCACAGCAAAAACATTTCTTTTTTTTTTTTTTTTGCGAACTGTTATTAATTTCTTCTTTAATGCGTTGAATTAAGATGTATGTAGGTACATACATCTTCCACAGAACGAGTGCTCGTTCTGCAGAAGAGCGCTTCAAAGCAGCGACCTCGAGATCTCGTGCTTGTGGCATCGGCTGCAGTCTCAGCTTAACTGTTTACAAGGTTTCTAGGCTTCTGCACCACTTTATTGAATCAATGCCAAGACCGGGTGACGTTCTTTGGCTGCCAATCAAGGCAAAATAGGGCTTTCTCAGGATTGAAACGTCTGAGAACATTTGCTTAGAATATCGACACTCGTTCCCGGAGTGTTGTGTGGGGCTCCGCCATTTTGTTGCCTAGGCTAGAGCGGGTGCAATAAACCCCTTTCAAAATTCAGTGCCGTCTAGTGGCTCAAAACGCAGTTTCACTTTTGCCAAAATTATGGCGATCATCAAACGGTATTTCATCGGGCACCACATCATATAGTTCTTTCTTCTTTCACTTTTGATGATGTGACCATAAGAACGGGTCTGTATACAAAGCGACAACCGATAAGCCATCGATTAAAATCACCGCCATCCAAAGGCTTTAAAATCAAACTTGCGCCAGATATTACTTGAGCCACACTCCGAAATAAACGCTTACGCAGCCGTTGTATCCAACTTCCATGTCGTGTTGTACTGACGTCTCAAACCTACAAACCTCCTCCGCCTAGTACAATAGCTTCAACTCTTTCCTTCACCAGCCTCAAAGAAAGCCGCTACTTGTTTCGTACAGATGTCATAGACTGAGGATGAATGGATGGATGCTAATGGATGTATCGTTTATACTGGGCGGTAGCTTGTGCCACCTAGCCTAGAAAATGATGGTGATCAAAGTTGCCAGACTGAATTTCAAAAATACTTCCTGAGCTTTGGATACGGTGTCAGGGAGCTCATGTGACATCTTTTTGCTCGGTCGCGAACTGTTTTAACTTTCTGCAGCCCGAGAAAGCGTTTCCTGTAATTTCAGACGAAGCTTCGGATAACTGACAACTATGAATGTAAGCATCAAGATGACAAACGTGTCGTTAATCTTAAGTGTAGCCCATTTATAATTACCATCTGCTCAAACGCGTTATTCGCGTGCTTTCTATACGGTACGTTTTTTTGTTTTTTTTTTTGTACGCAGGGTTTGTGCTGGCAGATCATGGTTACGACGTCTGGCTTGGGAACGTTCGTGGGAACACCTACGGCAAGAACCACCGGAAGTTCAGCAACGCTTCTCGGGAGTTTTGGAACTTCTCGTGAGTGGACGACTGGCTCGATATTGACCAACGCACGCAGAAAAAACAGAAAGAACCAACGTAAATTATTCTTACTTTTGAACATACTACAATCAACTAACTCAATATCGCACGAGTACTTTTGGCAAAAGATTTCCGTCACACAAAGTATACCCTATAAATTTTCGAAGTTTATAAAAAAAAAAAAAAAAAAAAATATATATATATATATATATATATATATATATATATATATTATTAAAATGTTTGTTTTAAAACGTCCGCATCTTTTTGAAGTTGTGTAGTTCTCTCAGTTTGCACCAGTCTGCAGATTTAAAACAAGATTGTGTAGACAGATATGGTTTACCTTCGCGAATAACGATAAAGGAGACATACACATTAAATACAAGCATTTCCAAGTCTAAGCTCCTAGAGGAGTTTAGAAATTGGACGTGGTAGTGTCACGCGCTCAGAAATCGGACATCCCGTGACGTCGCAGTTTCCCCGCTGAATTTAGCGGGAAAATTTCTTCACTGAATTTAGCGGGTCGTCGCATGACGTGGCACGCGTGGCCACGTCATGCGACGTCACATGACGTCAGAGTGTCACGTGACGTCATGGCTTCAGATGCCATCACAGTGCCCCATCAATACCGTCCGCTAAATCTAAACACAGTAGCGCAGTTCATTTCGTGGGACACTGCGAGGAACCCTCTAATTCTTTAGCGTAAAATTTGTCACTGCGCTTTTTTTTTTTTTCTTACTTTCTGCCCACATCTTTCGTTTAGACAGTTCTTTCATCAAGCGGTCCCTTTAAAACAAATGCTCGTTGCAGGTTTCACGAGTTCGGCGCGTACGATGGCCCGGCACAGATCGACCACGTCCTTAAGCAGACGAAACGCGACAGCCTGTTCTACGTCGGCCTCTCGCAGGGGGCGCTCATGTACTTCATCATGATGTCCGAAAGGCCCGAGTACAACGCCAAGGTGAGCTGTAGACCAACACCACCTAGACTAGAAAAGGATTGCGTATGGACGTCATCGTTTGTGGGTCCGCAAGCCCTGCCCCAAGCGGCAAACACTCCGAAGAGATAAAGCGGCAGCCGCGTCAGTCGTCTTGGCGTCACCTCGTGCATGTGGTAGCGTCCACGTCTGGGTCTATGCGTCTAATAAAGCCACATATACATATGCATGGTTCTCTCGCCGTGGACCCGGAGATGAATTAGAGCGGTGGTTCTCAACCACCGATGTTTCGCGGATCCCTTGTGGATCGGCGGAGACGATGGAGGACCCGTTCGTGGTGAGTTGAAGGGAAAGGTATAGGTTAATTACGATAATGATGAAGTAAATGTACAAGGTGTCACAAAAAAAAAATGTACCAGATTTTTTTTTTTTTTTTTACCGCAAACATAAACTAGGCATTTCCGAACACTCATTTTCTGCCCAAAGGTAGCGCTAGAGGTCACAACTATATGTCAAAGTTTCAGCCCGATCCGATACCTTATTCAAAAGTTATAAGTGATTTTCTTAAAACTTCAATGGGAAAATGGCGCCCGACGGAGTTTTCGACTACATGGGGCTCTATGGCACCAGAACACGAAAATGGGCAAAAATGGGCTCCATCTTTCTATCGAAATTTTCAGAAAATCACTTATATCTTTTGAATAAGGTATCGGATCGGGCTGAAACTTTGGCATCTGGTTGTGACTTCTAGCGCTACCTTTGGGCAGATAATGAGCGTTCGGCAATGTTTAATTTAGTTTTCCGCAAAAAAAAAAAAAAAACTACATTTTTTTTGGTGACATTTTGTACATAACTAAGGGCTAGTGCAAAGTAGACTTAATTCTCTCATTGACATACACACGAGAATACTCACCCGAAAACAAAAACAATTCTCCTCAACCTGGAAAAAAAAATTATTGCCGGGTTTGACTGATGAGGCAGGGCTTCGAGGACACCTCTTTGAGAACCACTGAATTTGATGACTGATACCCATGGAGCGCTTTCACGCGTATACTTCAAAAGTGTAACTTGGGTTTGAAAGCTATTTACTCAACGAAACGCAAAAAAAAAAAAAAAGAAAAACGGAGCAGTTTTATAATTTATTTTAGCCGCCACATGTAGACAGACAGACACTCCCCCAACTGAAGTCAAACGTGCATGTTGTTAATTAGAACCATGTTGACTTGGATTTTACAGTGGAGCTGTTAAAGGAGTACTCCGCCGTTTTCTTCATAGTCCCCGATTTGCCTAAAAACTTGCTAAAAACACCAACAAACGTCGCTGAACTAGTAACCCAAATATTTGGACAAAATCACTTTTTTTCGCGAGGTTACAGAATTTACAGTTCTGGTCCTCATCGTGTTCTCCAAAGTGAAAAGCTCTACTGGCAACATTGAAAACGTGACGTCATGAGTGTGCAGGGGTTCACTCTTTGGGCTGTAGGCTTTGTTCCCAACTGATTACAAGCAGTTTTATGGTGTCAAATGAATGCTTTGGAAAGTCGCCCCAGCTCCCGCGCAGCAGCACGATACAAATGCTCGGCATAGTTCATTTTTAGACTGCCCGCTCGAACCGCAAGCCGGCACATTCGTGACGTCACGGCAATGAAAAGCGCGGGTATATTCGAATCATCGTTTTGGCGTCATTTTCATTTGCCGATTTCACAATAACTATTCTGAATTTCGCGATACAAAATAAGATATTAGAAAGAATAAAGGACGGCGATTTCAAAAATATAGTTAGTTGGGGTTGCTCAAAAAGTCGCCGGAGTTCCCCTTTAAGGGCTAGTTTCTGCAGTTTCGTGTCCGTGGACAAATAAATCTCAACACAACCCTCTGGACAGTTACCTCCATCTACGAGCGACGACGGCAACCAGACAACCGACTTGCCGGTTGTCTGGTTGCCGCCGTCGCTCATAGATGGCGTCACATAGTAGCAGTTCTGCTGCTCTTCCTTCTTAACCAAAGTAAAAAGGCTGAACGTATTTTTTTTTTCAGTTTCTTAATTAAGTTAGTTGTATTGATGTCTGTAAATACACGTACCACATGCAAACTTCGTAAGACTTGATAAATCCACGCACGCACGATAAGAACTCACGCACGCACGCACGCAGAGAAAGACACGTCACTTTCTATTCTTTCAAGTGTTATTTGGGAAACTTTTAGGGATCTGAAGTTATCTAACAATCTGTTTTCACATGATCAAATGATCACTTAAACTGTCTTTCAGTAAATGTTGAAAGCGGTTCAACGAGTATACGTAAACTGCGCGACACTTTTAACGCAAACACGACATCGCGCCTTTTTCTTTTTTTATTTAAGAAAAGGTATACTGTCAAACCCCACAATTTACCACGTAGGTTCGTGTCCCATGTGCACACTTTTAGCCACCATATCAGTTTTGACGACAGTCCTTAGAGTTTAAGCAAAAAGCAAGAAAAACCGGCGATCGATCGTTTGCTCGCGTTAACAATGTTGCGCAGTCTATAGATTGCGTATGTGTGAGGGCGTTGTAACGGCATACATATATATATATATATATATTTTTTGTCTTGCGCACGATTGCAATATATAGATCAAGCGTAGCGACGAAGTATTGTAAAAAATTTTACTTTTTTTATTTTTGCAGAAAAAATTGCTTGACAGTGTTTTTATAAGATAAAGTAACTGCGTTGGAGATAGACATTTCAAACCTAGTGACCCAACATTTCAACATATGAACTTTTTTCGCAGGTCAAGGCCATGGCGGGACTTGCTCCTTTCCGAAAGATGCCGAACTTCAAAGTTCCCTTCCTTGAGGTCATAGCTACCCGCGGGAACGGCTTCCTCGTAAGTCTCTCTGAAAATTGTTCGAATCTGATCGAAGTTAAGGTAGCGAAAATTAGACCCTTTTTCCGCAATGTTGTGCCAAAATAACAATGTCAAAGGCAATCATCGACACGGCAAGTCTCTTCAATCTTCCCACATCGCAATTTGGTGGCTTCAACGACTGGCAAATTTCGTCCATGCTCATTTTTGAAGGGACGTTAAGTTGTAACGGTCGAGTTAAGGCCCGTTCACACACTTGCGTTTGCTTACGACCGAGTTCTTGTGACCTCTTAGGACGAGAGGACACACCGGCACGTGCGGCAGCGTCATCTATAAAATGGCCCTGAAACTGCATCTCACTAGAGTGAAGGTTTTGTGGTATTCGCGAGATCAAATGCACTTTGAGAAATGGTAACTTATAATTATACGGAGATTCCAAGTGTTCCAAGACTACGCGACAGATAGCGCCCGTGTTTTTTTTTTTTTTTTTTTTTTTGTTTTCTCGTCGTAAGAGCCTTTGAAGAGATTTATTAAAGCACATGTCATGAGCAGTCGCAACTGTGAAAACCAGCCTTTACTTTCGTGATAAAAACGCGGTGCTTCCTCCTTCACTGAAGCTAATTTGAAAGAGGTAATCGTAACGCCACATATAAAAAGGAAAAAAAAAATGTCACAAATTGAATGAGTAGGCTTATACCTAGCCTTCAATTTCCGTGTGTATGCTTTTCCAAGTTTTTAAGGCGGCAATTTTTTTATTCGTGAAAAGACTTTAGGCTCACGTGATATTTATTTATTCTGTATTATTAAACGTTGCGGTGTACGTCGTTATTTCGATGCGGTTTGAACAGCCCAAATAAGTGGCGCATTTTTCACGATAAGATTGAACGAGAGATAAAAAAAATAAAACAGGATAAAACGATGCACAGAAAAAGGAAACGCGGAAATAAGACACTCATTAAAGAAAACAAAACAAGAGCAACAAAAACTGGTATCTTTGACGTCACTCCCAAAGCGGTGAGGTTTTCCCAACGTCGGAAAAGCGTCGCTGCTGCAAAGTGACGTCAGAGATACGAGTTATATTTCATTCAATGCAAATATTTTCCTCTTCGGTATGTCAAATAAACTGGAACGAACATAAAAAAAAGATTAATCAAGATAAAAAATTTTTTCGTACACTTGTTTCCGAACCTGTTTCTTCCCATTTGAATTCACATCAACGTTGCGAGCTTTACAGCTGAAGGTCCCTTTCGCACGTCAATGGACAGATGAGAATAGGTTCTTCGATCCCCTCGTCATTCTTTCTTGATTTGTTTGAGTTCCAATAGTTCGCACATAAGAACTGACCAGTCCAAAGCAGCGACTCATAATCCACTGGTTAAATTTCCACCATCAAAATGCTTTATCGAGCCAAACTTGTGCCAAGAAATTGATTGGACAATACCCCTAATCGAACGTTTACGCAGCCGTTGTATCTAATTCGCGCGGCGTGTTGTACTGACGTCACGGACGTACAGGCCTCAATAATCCTCTGTATCTTCGACTTCTTCCTTCAACACCAAGCTCAAGACGGCCGCCATTAGTATGGCGCGGATGCCATACACTGAGATGATGGCAGTGATCGAAAAGTTGCCAAACTGAACATCGAAAAGAGTCTCGAGGCGGCGCGAATAGCTTTTCGACTGACTGTGCGCATCCTGACAGCTTCGCTCTGCATGTCATTTGTTCGCAGAACGGTCTCTACTCGTCCGGAGTGTACGAAGTGATGCCCCGAGACTTCCTGGCAGCCAAAGGAGCACGCGCATTATGCGCTTTCCCGAGCGGCCGCAGCGTCTGTGCGTTCCTCGCCGACTTCATGTTCAACATGGGACACACGCACACCAATCACGTGAGCCGAGACAAGCACATGCCCAGCGCTTGCTTATGCTTACCGAACCTCCGACTTCACGGCGCCGCGGCGGTGCTGCTGTCGGCACTGCGCCCGACTCTGCAACTCTCGCGAATCTGTGTCGGTGACACAGCCACTTCCATCGCAGTGACTTCTAGTTCGAAAACCGACGAGACGTCACTCTGCTGCATCTATTCGTGGCGTTATTGTATCCTCACAGCACAAAACCAACTTTCCCCGCTATCCTCGAGCTTTTTGCCGATTGTGTCAGACACAATCGGCAAAAAGCTCGAGGTACAGTACACCTAAGCACTTTTTATGAGTTGTGAATGCGAAAGCATGGAAGCCGCTCGTTCGCTCCCTTTTTCGTCTGCTGCGTACTTTTCGTCGCCTGTCAGCGCCGTGCTCCCCTGGGCATTCTGACCTTGGACGCTTCGTGTTAACGGCGCCTTGTTGGACACGTAGTGCAATGGGGTGAGCGGTCGTGGAAACTGACGATCGCAGGGCCAATGGAATTGAAGGCAAAATCCATCAGCTTTACTTCGCTCCTATAGGGATCGCGGAAACTATACCCATTTTCACCTCAAGAAAGAAGGACGTTTTGCTCAATGTTCATACGCCGCGCGAAGTAGTTTTTGCAAGATTTGGTTGCCAGAAAAAGAAGCAATGCTCTTGACGTTTCAAACGTGTACGTCTTGATAAGATAACATGCGTCTAATCTAAAATGCACCTGCATACATATTTATTATCTACGTAAAGGTGGAAATTAGTAATGCTCCGCGAGAAGCCGTACCTTTTTTTTTTACTACGCTTCTTCAGGTGAAAACGAGTATAGGTGCCGTTTTCGCGCTTCAAACTGATGACGTCAGCTCGCTCTATGGGACAGTTAATGCTTTCGCATTAAAAACCACAGGCGCTCACTATCGCTACAACGCACAACACCGTCGAGGAGGGAGCGCGTCGTCTGCTCTCAGATTCAACATTTGACGTCGCGAAGTCCCCTGCTCGCTGTTACCAGATAAAGCGGCAGCCAGCGATTCAGAGGTGTACGCGTAAACTTCAAAATTCATTTTCTAAAAAAAAATTGATTATTTCAATGAGGTATTTTGTAGACACACTCAGGGTTGGATATTTACTGCACGGTGAAAATTTTATAATAATCGATGACCATCAATATTTCGCCGGAGTCCGAGCGTCGCCAACGCTATAAGGCTAATGCATGGGGTCAATCAAGTCGTGACAAATGTGCACATGTGCAGGGCCACGTCGTTCGTAATCACTGTGCGTCTGTACCATCATAGGCTAAACCAATCAACCGCAGTAAATGCGCCGTGACCTTGCACTTTTAGTACGCTCGGACGCTCCGACGAATGATGAATGGATGGCGCATTGGACAAACAGGTATGAAGCCACCGGAAGTAGGCGGCTTGTCCCGGAAGTGAGCGCTTGACAAGTTTTTCAACTCTTCCGAGTGCTGGTGTGAAAACTATTCAGGGCGCTGGATCTTTTTCTTGTCATCTCAAGAAAGCCTGCTTGTTGCGCAGTAATAGCGCACGCGGACACGAAACGTCTCCCGGGAAGTCGTTGGATGTGAACATTTTGAGATTCTATTTGATCAAGTGTGCATATGTCCCACTTACAAATGCATTATTATCGAGATTTAATTCAAAGCGGTATTATTCAAACCCAATCAAAGACACGAGAAAGCGTGAAACAAAACATTGACTGAATGCACTAGGAAGCCCAGCAAACAAACGACTTTCGGGAAAAGCATCGAACTTCCGGTGGCTTCACCTGCGCCAGGCTCTAGAACAGCTATGCGCCATCCAGCCCCCTATGAAGAAATAAGTGTTTCCCTCCATATTTAGCGGGAAGTTTTACAGCGGAGCTGTTACGGGCTAGGTTTCTCAGGTTCGTGTCAGGTATGTCGACGCAAACCTGCCTGGACAGCTACCGCCATCTATAAGCGACGGCGGCAAGCACAACCAGTATGGTTTCTGCCGTCGCTCGTAGATGGCGCCAACCTTTCCAGTTCTAATAGAATGGATAGTTTGGCGCGTTGGTGGGAATTCATCGCAGGAAACAGCGCGAAAAACAGACGACGACGAAGAAGAAGCACAGAGTGTGCCGAGTACAGCTCCGCTGGTCTTCCTTCTTCACAAAAATAAAAAGGCTGACCGATTTTTTTTTTTTTTTTTGGGGGGGGGGGGGGGGGGGAAGGAGCTTTTAATGTTTCGGTGTCAGGAGCAAAACAGGAGACGAGAACCTATTCCGGTACAATGGAACCCACCAAACGCATGTTGCAATCGACTAGCGGTCTGAATGTCCGCTTCTTTGATAAGCTGACTGCCTCCAACAAAAAGCTGCTGTGGATGACAAAGAGAAAGGCTCGTGAACAAGGGTTCACGTTTACATGGCAGAAAAAAGGAACGGATGATATCGGCAAAGTAATGTAAAATGGCTGACACAACATTCATGTCCCTGTACTATAACCAGGTTACATTTAAACAACTTCTGCAAAATAATGCATGGTTTCTTTAAAAAATATATATATGCTTGACATTTAAATGTTAGGGGCATTGCAAATAAACATGATGACGTTGCCATGTTTTTCAACTCTCTAATTACAGTTTCGACATTTTCGCTTTCACGGGAACTTAGGTTTCTAATACTGATGATCAAGTGAGTTTTGAAGGCTATAAGAGCGAAGAGGTATTCAGATTAGACAGAAAAATGACGGGGCGTTTCATAGTATTTTCGTAATAGCACAGGGTATAGTGTTATGTTCGAATACTCGCACGTAACCAAGGACTATGAATCGATTGTTGCCATGTGTGAAGGATCCTTAGTGGCTACTCCAAATCAGCCACCTTCTGGGGCATTATCTGAATTTATGAATTACGTAGTTAAACTTTTGGAGCATATGACCTCATTGAATTTACGAATCACACTCATAGGGGACTTTAATATCAATCTGACGGGCTCGCATCTGCTCTGCGGACAGTTCCTTGATACTATTGAATCATTCCGGTGCAGTAACGTTATTACTGCACCAACAAAAATAAATCTGGATAGCGCAACAATAATCGATTTATGTATCACAAGTGACCTACCGAGTGAAACAATCTCTGGAATTTTTTCCTGCCCAGTCAGTGATCACTTACCTATATTTTGCCTTCTTAATTCGTTCTCAATGAAAACGAATGGACACAAAAACTCCGTAGCTGTCACAGCTTGTGGGAGGATTAATTATGCCAATATAACTAAGTTCTATAACCTCATATCAAACACTAATTGGGATGATCTATACAGTGAAAGCATTACTAGTATATGCTGCGGCATTTTCATAACTAGGATTAAAGAATGCTGTGACAAAACGCTTCCCCCCCAAAAATGTAAAAAAAAAAGTAAGAAAACCATAGATTACTCATGATATGTACACAAGAATAAATCGCCGAGATAAACTCTATGATACTTTTATCAAAACAAAAGATGAGTCGGTACTACGCGAATATAAAAGATATGAAATAAGTTAAACGCTGAAATTAAGAAAGCACGCAAGCAGTATTGCGGCGATAAATTCGCGTCCGTTTATAATGATCCTAAAAAAGTATGGAACACTGTAGGGTTTAACTTCCATGCCCACAATGTACTCCAATAACCTCCTATATACTGGCAAAGCCTGGCAGATCGCACCGAGAAGCGGCCACTGAAATGGAAAAGGTGGAGTGGCAGACAACGGATGAAAGGAGGAGCCACGTGACTGGCGCCCCGCTGCGGCGAGATGCCGAGACACGTACACTTCTCCCATGCGAACAAGTGTGTTTCAAATCCTCACCTCTGGGAAAGCTCTGCGCTGACATCCAGGTTCCCCGAGAAATGGCTCTTTGAGGCTCTCTGCTACCAGGTCCTAGCGCTTCAAATCTGCGACCGGGCACTCAATGGCTCCGTCGTCGAACTGCCAGGCTTTGTGAGTATAGAGGAGGCTATGGTACTTCCAAAAGAACTGGTAATTGATGGTATCTTATATTCAAATTCCCTCCTTGCTAACAGTTTAACGTTCACTTGTTCAGTTGCGGCGCCTGCCCCACTTCATCCCTATCTAGTAGTAGTTCCGAACCTTATATGTCGCCAGCTGCAACTGCAAATTCAGTTTTCCTCTGCCCTGTGACGGAGACAGAGATAACGAGGCTTCTCAGTAATTTAAGTAATAACACAGCGGCCGGATCAGATTATATAAAAGCGGCAACGAATAAAGCAGTCGCGCACTTTATAAGCTCCATTCTAGAACATATATGTAACACATCCGTGACTGGTATATTTCCGGAAAAAAAATGAAACGTCAGAGCTTGTGTCATACATGAAGGTAGTCAGCGCAACAATATAAAAAACCGTAGGCCAATTTCCGTGCTACCTTTATTCTCAAAAATTCCAAGCTCTTGATTTTAAAACTAGCAATGAGAATATACCGCGAGTACAGCAGTGACCAAAATGAATTTTGTGAGACCTACCACTCCAAAACAACATAATATAATCTAACAACTGAAATATACATAAAGCCCAAAATTCGAACAAGTTATGGCTTCCAAGCTCTAGCGTATAAAATACCCCAGCTTTTGAACGATCATCCAAGTGTTATTGAATTAATGAGGAATGCTACTTTGCTCGTTGCCTTCGAAAATAACATGAAACGTTATATTTTACAATAGGCTCTTTATAGCGTTTGGTTAAGCATTGGGTTCAATAGCGTATAATCAGCTCTGACCAGAGTTAGTCGTGTTATTACTCACTGCAAAGCTCCTAGCTCCTGCCAAGTTGTACTTTGCTCCCGGTGTGGTCTTATTAATCCACTATTTTGTAGAAGGCTTGTTCAGTGCCTATTTGGCTCAGTGAAACTTTGTTTGATAAGATTTTTTGTCGTTTTCACTTGTGTTTTATTGTTCAATTCTAGTCTGTTTTGATTCCCTGCTGAGCAGTGTATAGGGTGGTGGGGCCTCGTCAGGTAAATCTGTTTACCTTTGGCCCCTCTACCCGAAACTCAGAGTGCAAATCAAGATTATTATAATTATATACACGAATATATAGGTTCTCTTTTTTTTTGCAATATTCTTGTCGCTTTGCCTAGATGGTAAAATTTTGCGTTGCAGTCTCGGTATCCTGTGTACATGTCTCACCTGCCATCTGGGACGTCAATTAAGAACATGATTCACTTGAGTCAGGTGAGTGAAACAATGGCATGCCCGTACGCGGATCGTCTTAGTAACGGCTAGGGTGCCTTCATGTGCGCTTCGCATAGAGTGATGCTGTTTCCCTTTCCCATACCTTCTTCCACCGCCATTTTGCTTCTCTCATTGTTTCCCCGTGCGCCGGAAAGTGGCCTTTGTGTCCATCGGTCCTCCCATCCGAGGGGAAAATGCTAATCTTCCCTCCGTGGGTTCCACAACGCTGCTCCGAACTTGTGAGATAAGGTGCTTGTTTCTGGGAGAGTTATAAGCCCTACGGAGTATCGCCAAGGACCAAAATGGCTACTGGTTTGTCGGCGAGTGGCATTACAAAGGGTGGCATCACCCTAGCAAAGTGCACATGAAGGCTAACGGCCGATCCTCCACTGAGGTCGTTCACTTACATCGACGCAGTTGGTGATATCCAAGAACGCGCAAAAGTACGACTACGGTCCGGAAGGCAATCGAGAGAAGTACGGTCAGGTGAGTCTTCGGCGTACGTCACCGCCAAACATTCGAGGAGCGTTCATTTTAAGTGAACCCATCGGGCAGCTTCTCACCGAGTATTTAGTTTGCGTGTTAATATTTTCGTCCAGCGTAGCAAGGAGTGTCCGTACTTGTACTGCTGATTGTTCCCACCAGCTCGTAGTGTTGGCTGCATCTGGACTTAAAAACGAAGAAGAGAGCCACGAAATAAGCCGCGCTTCGAAGCCCTCCACTCCCTCGTGGGCGCCGCCATTTTGGTGCTTAGTGCAGGGTGGGCGGATTTGGCGATCGTTATGGTTTGAAAATGCGAGTTCCTGAGCATTTTGGTGTGTTACGGGCGGTTCTATCATTTCTAAAGGACGGAAGAGTGTTTCCTGCGATTTCAGGTAAAGCTTATTATAACTAAAAGCTATGGTGCACTAAGATGGTTGACGTGTTGTTACTCTAAAGCGTTTATGTAATGGCTCTAGGCTACACCCTAGACTTCACTTTTAGATGGATTAAAGAAAACATTGTTTAATTAAATGCTTTCTTGCGGGTATATGTAGAGTGCTTACCAAACGAACACGGAACACGTGAGTTGTGTTTTTGTTTTCGTGGGAGGCGTTATCCTGGCGGCAGCAGAACAGGGTTTCGTGGAGTAGCACTCAACAAACCATCCTGAAGTGCTATACGTCAAGGAACCGTTGTCCTCCAAGACAGCGCTGCGATAACACACACACACACACACGGACGCACGCACACACTCTCTCTCTCCCTCTTCGCGTGTTCCGTATAAATTTCGTAAACACTGTACACGTAACCATTGCTTTGCGCCGCCTCGACGTTCAGGCGTCAACTTAGTTATACTATTTTTGGAGAGGGTACACAGATTGTATACGTACTACACTGGGCACACAGCGATCGTTTTAATTTGTTTCCACGCAGTCCGACCCTCCGCACTACAGGTTAGACAACGTCGCCAACGACATTGGCATCTTCTGGAGTCGGGGAGACAAGTTCGTCCCTCCCGAAGACGTGGACGAGCTCATCCGAGAGCTGGGACCTCGGGTGAAGATGAAGCACTTCGTCGATGACCCGGAGTACAGACACTTTCACTTCGGCGTCGGCACCGTCAACCACGAAGCGTGGCACGAGGAACTGCTGGAGTTCCTCGGAAGATACTCTGACCACGTCCGCTCGATGCGGCTTCCTGCGGGGACTTGTTAGATTAGAGTCGACTGGTTTTTGACTCTCCCCACCCCCGGGCCAGTTCATACTGATGATGCCATCCGGATAGGTGGCGAAACGTCCGTGTTGCTGTTATATATTTTTTTCTTAAGCCAGTGTAAACTTATTTCAATATGTCTACTCCTGGCTTTTGGAACATATTTGCCTTCTAAAACCACAGCCACGCTGCTGATACACCGTACACAATAGGGAGTTTTCGTGGATCGTTTTCGCCGTCCCGCAACGCCCTCCGTAACCCACTACGATACCCGGAACTCTACAGTCAAGGCCATAGGCGCGCAGGCGCAGTAGCGGCTTCTTCGTTGTGGAGGGCTCAGCGGAGAGGGAAACGCGGTCTACGAAAACTCCCTAATTAAGAGATGGCGATCGCTGCAGGTGGCGACAGAAGTATCTGCGGTCACGACTCACGCCTTTTCGAAGCTTCATACATACATATATGGCCGAACATGCATCTGCAGACAGATTTTGTTTGACTAGTGTGAAAGTGCCGTCATACATGAAAGTAACACACCTCAGACAATGTCTGCAACATGTCACTTTGTACGGTGTACTAAGAGTGCGACCGCAACCATAGGGCTTGCCGAAGGGCTCTTTTTGCCAAGGAAAACCGAAGTCCACAAAGCGGCCGGAGAGAGTAGTATTCAGCACATATAGTGGTGCTGACCAGCGGATATGGAGGAACTGTACATTTATTACTCCAGTGATGGTTTAGTAATGGAACACTGGGGCGATCTAGCGCCAGTTTCGCGAGGCCCCTGTAACGCAAAAGTACTGCTGGCGTCCGCTGAGTCTAGCGACGAACTCGGCAAGCTCACCTAGATCACTGTTTCTTTACGACTCCGTAGTGAAGCGGCAGTGGCAGAACATCCGTACTTCTACTGACCAGATGACTCGTGCCCGCTCCAAAAGGGTGTGCAAACAGGCGTACTCGGCTGCAGAAAACATGCGCTGAAGGCTAACTTTGCTCACTCGCAATGAGGCTGGAGTTACTGAGTGAGAACTGGCACGCCTGAGAAAAATTCAAGTTGTGCTCGAGTGGCGTACCTCCGGATGTTGCCTTGTCGGTTCTCAGGCTGCTATGCTTCGTTTCATCATAAGTCCGGGCGCCGTTGAGGGCATGCATACAGACACGAACACAAATAGTAAAGGCGCAAGTCACTGTACCTTCCCTGCACAAAATTGGTTTAGCGATAAAAAAACATGTACAGAAACGCGACCAGCATCATGTGCATGGTTCTTGATTGTGCCCAGCTGCTGATGTCGCTGAGGTTACGGGTACCGTCAGGGAGGACATCAAAATGCAGAGACACGAATTATCCTGATGTGCGGGCCACTTGCCCTATGACACGTCTGCAACAGACTCAGGATGCCTTTTTTGGTGAAACAGACATTTTCATCCGATTGTGTTTTTATCTCATACTTCTATGTATCTGTGTACAGGACAGTGCACTGGTGGTCAGGCCACTTGGCTGTTTGCAGGCACGCAAATATACCCCATCTATCTATCTATCATGGCGTGCTTTTGACGCTGTTTGATTGATTGATCGCGTCAGCTGCGCTCGGGCCAAACGTGAAACGAAGATGGTGGAGTTGGTGCTGGAGTTATCGACAAGTTGTGGAGCTGAATATGTCATATTCGTGTGCAGAGAAGGGAAAGGCAGGGTAACATATATTGTCAACATATTCTTGTGAATTAACGAGTTAGTCAATAAAAAAGAGCGTGCAAAATTGTGTATTTTTTTGTATTATTTCTTGTTTTCTAAGCGGATACCATATGGTGCTTTTGTTTTAAGGGGTACTGCAACTAAATTGAAGCGCCTATTTTAGTGTCTGAATGCCAACCACGTTTTGTCCATAATACGGAGACACAATTTTTTTACTTGAAAAGGCACCAAAGCACTATTTAAAAAGAATAAACTGAATGCCCAACGCCACTAAGCCCTTAAAACCAGCGCCGCTCAGAGGGAGTACGACTCCAAACTTCTTGCGCGCGCCTTCCTGTCGAACCGGATTGCCATTCTCTCCTGGCCTATTCAACTCTTGCCGGAAGCGGGGAGGTGCAACTAAAAAAGGTCAAACTGTAACGCGTTGACGACGCCGAGTGGCGGCGGGCATAAACGCACCAGCTCCCGAACAGCTTTGCCCGCGCTGGGCCAATTGACGTCACGCCTGTGGCGTCAAATGGATCAAGCTCCCGTGATGCATCGCGCTCTTCGACGGCTGATCTTGGAGCGCTCGCCAAAAATGGGCCCCTTGGAACGAAGAATATAGCCATCCGTTCAAAATATAAGTGCGCTATTGTCATTAGCAGATTGAGTTGATGATGTTTAACTTTGTTCTGAACGTAGGGAGGTATATTCTAAGTTTCGATTCAGCATCCCTTTACCTCACGCGGTAAGCAGTAGAGAGTTTTAGAATAGGGGGCCCCGATGCTTTGAGTCCCCCGAGCAGCTTGGGGTGTCGCACAAAGCATGCGCAGAACGTGCGACTTGCGCTTGGGGAGCCGGAACGTTGGGTACCTTATTCTAAAATGCTATAGTGAATCCTATTATGAAGGGGGGCTCCATTCGGATGATAACGGTGCTGGACCGGAAAGCACGAGAGAGGTAGCGGTCATTTTTAAAAAGGTTCAATTTAAATGCAACTTCACATAAAAAATACTCGCCTTTTGAACAGGAACATGTTTTCAACAATAAGTACCCTATTGAAAATTCTTATTTGTATGAGAAATTTCTGTGTCCAATAAACACATATGAATCATACAAGATATATAAGAACATATTGTCACGGGTGGTGACCAATAAACAATAAATAAACAGAAAGAAATAAACGTTTAATGTGGCGAACTTGTGCCAAAAATAAAAGGGTACATACAAAAGATAATAAAAGACCGTCGCGGGCGTCGAAGTCGGCGTAGCAGCAGAGTCGAACGCTGGGGCGAAACTGACTGCAGATCAGCACGCGGAGTCCCTTATGTACGCGCGTTGGGTTCTGGAACAATCGGCCTAGATTGTACGGCGACTGGAACATTCAGAACTCGATCTGACGAGAATGTTGTCGAACTCACGAGAGCGCAATGAAAGAACAAATAAAAGAGCATTCCACTGACTGGAATCGAACCCAGACTTTCTGCACGACAGTAAAGCACGGTAACCACGCGGCCACGCGCGCGGTCGCTCGCCGACGAGCGTGGCATTACTCCCCCCTTTAAAAAGGCATCGTCTCGATGCCACGTAAAAGGCAACAAAACAGAGCGAAACAAGCAAAAAAAATGGGAACACACGCAGGCTCGCGAAACACAATCCTATCAAGCGGTGCACAAGATCACAGTTCGCAGTCTTATCGCGCGTAGTACGGCTTGAGGCGCACGACGCGGACGACTTCCGGTCGTGGAGCGCGGCGTGATGAAGTCCGTGTTCCGTCGGGCATCACCTCGTAGTTCAGATCCCCGAGTCGACGAAGTACTTTGTAGGGTCCGAAGTAGCGCTTTAGGAGTTTCTCACTGAGACCACGGCGGCGGATCGGTGTCCACACCCACACCCTTTCTCCGGGCTGGAAGTGGACGTCCCGACGACGAAGGTTGTAGCGGCCAGTGTCGACACGTTGTTGGGCTTGAATACGGTGTCCGACGAGCGTGGCAATATAAGAACCATATAAGAACTATATAAGGAGCATAAGAACATACTAGCACTATATAAGAAACTTGGGAGAAGTTTGTTATATATTTCTTATATGGTTCTTATATATCTTATATAGTTCTTATATAATTCTTATATAGTTCTTTATGGTTCTTTACGTTCTTATATATCTTGTATAATTCACGTGTTTATTGGACACGAGAAATTTCTCATACAAATGACTTTTTTTCACCAGGGTAAAAGTGCAAATGAACCGATGGGGGTTGACACGTGCTGAAAGGTACCCCTCCAGACGCCCACGGGCCTGCGACTGGTGTTGTAACCGCGCATGGTCACAACGGCCGCTTTATCGCATCTCGCGGTACCAGGAAGATCTTGTCCGTCCACAACTTCTCAGTTTTGGTTGCTCCACTTTCCAGGCGCCACTTTCATCCTCGAAGGAACCTTAGCCGGTCAGAGAACCAAGTGGCCAGTCACCTCACGTGCATTGATGCTGTTTCAAGAGCCCCTTTGATCGTGCGCTGGCGTTGTGCCATGAGCGAGATCGACACAGCTCGCAAAAGAACCGAGCCCATTCCTTATCCACTCCATATCGTGTTAAAGGCCGACGACCAGACTCGATATTCTGCAAGGCAGAAGATCCTCCTCACCGTGGGGGAGAAGGAAACAGGCAACGGTGGACAGGGTAGAAGGGGGAAGAGGAAGAAGGGAGGGAAAAGGGGAAAGCGCGAACTGGTCGTCGGCCCTTTAAAAGCATCTAATTAATGTCCCATACCATTCCTCGCAGCGCTTTCGGCATTCCATTGCCATTCGGTACCGGGGTAGCGGAAGTGCGGAATGATTCCGGAACCATACCGACTCCAGTGCGGCAACTCAGCAACACTGGTTAGTTCATCACATCACAAGACGTATAGACTGCTCAACACGAGATGCTTGCGTTGTCCCTTTCACTTTTCACCACGCTTTCAGTTTTCATTTAAATAATATACAAATGTATATATTTTACTTATTAGCACAACGTAGCAAAACGCGGTAAAAGTCATAGCGGAATAATATTATGAAAAACAAATTCGAGATGAAATGGTTTTCCTGTGCGTAGTACAACAGAAAAAAAAGTACACTTGATTTTTTCGTATATTTTTAAAGGGACACAATAGAATTGTCTGTGTAGTCTGATTTAAAGGGATACTTCAACGAAATTTGAAATATTCCCGTCGTGTTCACAAATAGGTTGAATATGATCCACAATATCCGTAAATTACAATCGCACGTTTGTATTTTGATCCTGGTGGCTGTATTTTTCGTTATAAACGGCCCACTCTGGCAAGCGCTCGGAGAAGG